TCTCCTGTGACGTCACAAGAAAGCAGCTATACATAAGACTACTGAAAGACAGATATAAGTAAATGTGTTTTAAAGAGAAAGGCTCCGTTGAACACTTTTGTTTGTCAGATTGTCTTCGTGTCGCATTGAGTGGTTGCATAAAGCTTCTTTTTTTTCTAATTTATCGTAATAATCATGGCATCTAAATGAATATTCAAAGAGCGTGAATAAATAGAAAAGTCGACTCAGCCATGGTTGGTAAGCACTTAAACCGTTCAGGGACAGGATAATTTATTTATTTGTTTAGCGCGTGCCAGTAGCTTCATGCACCAGTTGTGTTTAATGTCGTAGCTTGCACACTTGGTAGCTGGGAACCATCAACCACATATGTGAAAATTCTCACCAAAAACAATAGTCTGGGAAACATACTACATACTCAACACGTCCTTTGAGAGATATCCAAATAATATCTCTAAGACTCCTATATCTGTTGATGCAAGCAGGGCCACGCATTAAATTTGCTGCCTAAAAGCACGTTGTGTTTTTTTTTACTCATTACGTAATGGAAAACGAACTACTGTACGATAACAATAAATATTTAATAAGGCCCTGATATATAAGTAAATGTTGTACTTATGCAATGTTGATTATGGTACATTCCTGCGCATCTAATATAAAGAAAGAAAAGCATACCAACAAGTGGGTGAGTGAGGCAGCCCAGCTTCAGTGTGTGTAGTCACAGTGCAGTGCTGGTGCATAAGTGAACCTAGTCCCAGTGATCTTGCTCACCCATCCGCCTCCACATGCACGTTTTTCTCACCCCCCCTATCTTTAAGGAGTGTGTCTCACATCGTTCGTGGCGTGAAGCAAAAATACTCAAATGAATTTGTACAATACTATATAACAGACATCAACATAATATACTCTCAAGTTTACAAGTACCTATCTCCAGCTCCAGTATATAAAAAGTGATACTTTGTGCATTATTAAACCAAGATAGTGTGTACTATAATTATAAGAGATGAGGTTCTTTTCTTAGAATATAAATAATAGCTCTATAATCGATGAATAACCATATTGCTGACATCTTTACTCAACGTTTATTCAACAACATTAGGATCATACATACATTTTTTGTCAGTTGTTTATTACTGAAATACTCTAGCAATGATTGTAAGTCTGTCACAGGGTTTCTCAATACTGTAACCTCAAGTGTTTGAATTAGATTGGACGTTCGCTGCATCTGCATAAAAGGATCAAAGAATTTATACTTAGCTGAAACTTTTTATTGTAGTTCGTACCCTCACCACTAAGCAAGCTCTTGTCATACTCGGTTGCTTTGTCGCTTTGTGTGCTGTTTATTGTTAAAGTGTCATGCCCACTAGATTGAGTATCTCGAGACTGTTGCATTGTCACTTATTAATGTATATTTCCTTCACAACATTCTTTATTTAATTTTAATCCTTTCTCTCTCTGTAAGGATTTTGTAAAAATAATTTCTATACCTGTTGATAATGCTAGCCGCCCCTCTACACAGATCTGCAGCACGTTAGGGTAAATAATGGGGCATTTCTACAAGACCAACACCTCGGGCGATAAAGTTTCATGATGTGGAAGTATAATTAATCTTTTAAGAGTTAACTTGTTAATGGTGCCATAACAATAACCGATCGTCGAGGAAACACTTTGTTCTTGACTTGTGCCTATATGGTGTCACTTGTCTCACCACTGGAGTGTGTGTCTGTTTATCACTCAACTTTCATTGCCAACCCCTTATCCTCTACATTCGTTGTTCTGAATCCATCCTTTCTTTGTTATAATTTTAATGGTCAGTGTAATAAACAAAATTAATGCAAGCAGTCATCTTCAGGTATTTTAGACCAGGTTATCTACTGCCTACTTCACTATTCGTCAGGGTTATGTTGTTCATACACTCTCATTTTGTATTCCTCGCACCTCGCCGCAGCGAAAATTCTTCCTTGCAAACATCTTTCCTGATACGTAGAACTTGCTATTCTTCAAGGGCACAGCGGAGAGGAACCTTCTGCACCCATAAACTAATTATTAGTCTTCGATCCAACAAATTACAACTGAAGCTCCCCCGGAGTACTTGATCGCTGAGACAACTGCGTCGTTGTGTCAGTTACCCAGACAAAATAGCCTACAAATATTGTGAGCGTTATGTGTCTACTGGAGACGGACGCTAGAGCTATTGATGATACACAGCAATGTTGATTTCTCGCTTGAATAAGGTTCCAGTAACGGCGATGTATCGAACTAAGTTCTTCGATATTTAGAGTATAATTTTTGTAATATTTCAAGGGAATGTCTGCGCCTGATTTTGAGTGTTTATATCCAGAATATAACTACCGGAAATATGCATGTGTTAGTATTGTTGGGCTTTCCTTAGTCGAAACTACTTCTTGTTTACCATAGTATACCAACACTGTCCATGTCCTCAATCCAAGAGGTATCATTACGGAGGGGTCCAATAAATTTAAAAATAAACACCTGCAAGATTTGTTGTCACGATAGGGTTGTCAAAGTCCTTCGTTGTTGCGCCAGTCTCACAAAATCTTTAAGATACATTTTGGATGAGTGTTACACGCTGAATCAATGTGAGATTATATTACGATATAATTAAATATATATCTCTATCTATCTAACCTGAGCAGCAATAAAAGAACAAGGGTGAAGCACGTACCCGGTAATAGTTACTCGGCGGGGATCATGTGCCATTATAGAGCAGCAGCTGCGATCGTTGTATCCCCATCCTTCCTCGAAAAAAAAAAAAATATTATTTTTAGTATTTTCTAAGTGTCACACGTGAAAATTATCGCAAGTTCTTTAAGTGCGCATCTAATTGTTAATTATACACATTTTCTTACTTATTTCTTATTCCTTCACTCAGACGTGGTTTCTGTCTTGATTCTGTGTCAAGGTTGTCGTGGGTACTGTATACCGGTATATTATTTGTACCGGCAGTTTTTTATGTGCTGTCTTTATAGTGTGTGTACGTGAGAGATCGGTAACTGACCAATAGCAGTCGGATGTTCATCTGGTTCTCCGGGAAATATTCATCAAAATATCGTTACAGGAGGCACTACTACCACAAAAACTATGTTATAAATGAAGTCAAGGAAAGTACCCAGGACACAGGCCCAGTACATGTTAGAGTTTAGTGAGAAAATGACTGGAATTTTTCTCAACATACTAATTGTTCCACCAGAAAAAAAACACTGGGCAAGACTGTCGGAAAAATTATACATAAAAGAACAAGTGATAATAATTAGAAGGCGTGGACAGAAGGTTTTCTACCTGTCAGTCGGGATCGTATTCATGGAGATGGCCACCAGAGCTAAAAAAAATATCTTGTGATCTTGCAAGATTTTTTCGCCTTGACGCAGAATGGCGGTAGTCAAGAGCAAGACACGCTGGCATTTCTAAACAGCAATCTGTCTTAAGCGTTTCATCCCCTAATCTACTGTACTAGCAGTTAGGTGGATATCCATTCAGAGAAGCAATGCTGACACAGCGGATATAATGTTTAGTTCACGCGCGATGACAGCCTAACAAGCTCAGCTAGGATATAGTACAATTTAAAAAAAATGCACGAAAAACATCTCATCAGGTGTTTTACCACAAGCTAACCGTATTGGGAGTCAGCTGTTTATTGGAGTTGACATTGCTATAGCGGACGGTTCAGAAGAAAACATAAAATGTTAAAGAATGAGTCTGGAAGAAGATGTAATAGGAGAAAGTTAAATAGCGAACGTGAAGAAAAGGAAGTGATGAAAGTATGTAGAGAAAAAAGACAGAGAAGTGTAACTTAAAAAGATATTCACTTGAGAAAGTGCAGTGTTTTCAGATATCTGTGAGTGTGTGTTAGTAAACAAAATACTGAGTGATAACTTAAAAATCAAAGCTAAAAAGAGAGAGAGGCTGTACGAAAGAAGTTGAGGATCTAGAGTGAAATAAGTGACCTGACATTATCATATGGGTGTGAAACATAAGACTCTATACACAACAAGGAGTAATAAACTAGAAGTGGCAGAAATGATATATTTGAGAGCAATGTGGAGTTAAAGGGGACTCAAAGAATTAAAAAAAATACGTAAAAAAATAATTGTGGAAATTATTAGTGTCGGGCTGAGAATGAATTGGAGTTTGCTCAAATAATAAGGACATATTGAGTTAATGGGAAATGAAAGACCAATAAAAAAGTGAATAATTCTGAAGTGGATGGTAGGAGGGAGAGAGGGAGCATTGGAGTAAAGTACACCCAAGGAGCAGCGATGTCTATAAGTGAGAGGAGAGCTTGGCGTCGAGTAAATATGGGAGATGGAAGTGCTGCTGATGGGTGATGCTAAGTAGTGTGAAGCGACGGGTAAACCAGATAGATATGTGAAGCCATGTTGTGAAAAGGGAGTACCGTGGTAAAACACATCTACTGCATCAATAAGAATGAATAACAATGGATAGTCGTCGGTTATTCCTCGATTCAAGGATGATGTCTACCACGAGTTTCATCGGCGAGACTCTACTCAGTAGTCCATCCCTTGAGTTCTGGATTTCGTTTCTTCCCTTTCCCCTGCTGTCCTTTTTTCGACTTCACTGGTAAGGTTGTCCTCTTCGGAGCGAGAAATGGTTTGGTAGTGGGTGGGGTGTCCCAAGTAGAGACCCGCCTGTGATCTGCCTCTCCCAGCTGAAAATGTCTAGGTCCCACTTCTCGTGATATGTTTTTATGGTGGCCTTGTAGCGCTTCCTTCGTTCACTACGAATACGTATTATATAAGCTTGCATAAACAATAATAACAACAAACAAAATTCCTGACAGATGAAGCTCGCTCTGCCATCCTGTTATTTGACTTCACTATCCTACAGGTTAAATGAGTTCTCTTGGTTACATATCTGACTTACATGTTTGTTTTTCTATGGCAATACTGAGCAACAGAAGGCGTGCAAGAAGATAAAATTCAATACCAGCTAAATGCGTACAACAGTTGTATGAAATGGTTCACCTTGACTTAACTCCCAGACTGGTTGCTGGGGCAAGTACCCGCCTCTGGCCTGAGGCTGCTGCCCACGGAGATGAACCCTTATTCCTCACACTGTAACTTGCTCCCTGCAAGAGTTTTTCCTCTGCATCTCTTGAAATATAGGGTCTACATACACCTGACAACGTTTCTTAAAATCATCTCTGCAAAGTCGGCAGCATCGCCCTGTGTGTCGCTGTTGTTGTGTACCACATCTATGACTGTCAGACGTAAACTAACAATAATAATAATAACGATAATAATAATAATAATAATAATAATAATAATAATAATAATAAGCAGAACGGATTCATTCGATGTTGACAAAAGTAACAACACAGGTACAGTTGTTGTTGTTTTTTTACTTGGAGATAATGAGGTACGCGGGCAATGTACCCTTTTATGGGCAATACTACTGATAAAATGACCTATTTTCAAGTACACCACGAATAAGAAAGAAGTATATATAACCTGCAGCAAGTTTAATTGACAAAAGTCTGAATGTGACTGGCGAAACATATCGCGATGTATGTACTACATATATTTGTAAATAATTTTCTATACAGTAATAAGTATTAGATGCCTACAACATCAGACGCCATAAACTGTTATAACATGGTCTAAATTTGATACCTTTGTGATACACTTATACCAGGATATGCCATTGAATTAGTGCATAGATTACACCCATTATTTTAACTAAACAGCAATCGAAAGTAGTTTGTTCGGGATTTTGATTGTGTCGCCGTGGTATTTTATTAACTGCGATGGAGAAGTCTTATATTTTTACTTTTACGTATTACCACGAGATCTGCAGCCCTATCACTAATGTGCATGAGCAAATCGCTATTACAAAATTCCAGACAGCGTCAATTGTCTCAGCAAACCTTATGTAAGAAAGTATCAAGAAACCCTCTTGTCGCAAAGTGGCATGACAGCAAATTACGGGAATATTCGCCTACTGATATGACAACCTCCCTGGGCACTACAAAAAGAATCTGGTCCAAATGCTGTACCATAACTTAGAAGCGCGCTGCAGTCACGTTTACAGCCGATACACCCTCTGTCATCACAGCTAACTTTTTAGTGCCAAGGAACCAAACACACTGGGGAAGCGGATAGAAAAGTGCAAGATGCACAGTAAGAAAGGAAGGCGAGTGAGAAGAGAAGGTAAAGTGGTCTAAAGTAGATGTGAAATATATGCTGGGTCTGAGAGTGCATGTGATGGTATAACTGAAATCGTTAAGGGGGGAAAGGAAGGCTATCTCTTCTAACCATCCATGCTCTCTCGTATGGTAGTAGTTACACGAGTCTCAGGCTTACATACATACGCAATGGAATAAGCATATGATGGCTTTATTGGGTTATTTTTGGTCGAATGGGTTTACTGTTCACCATTATTTGTATATCCCCACTGCCTTTGTACATTTCTACCATCACTGTCTATGTACATTGTTTGTATGCCTGCATAACTGCATTGCCTATGAACATGCTGAGTCAATGCGAACTTGTATAGGGATTTAACTGAACAGCTATCTAAAGGTATTTATCAGTTCTATTCATCTAGGTACAAACACTGGTTACCCAATCAGATCATCTACAGTGCGTACTCCTCCCTCTTGGCAGCACCCCCATGGGCTTCTCAGACTTATAAACACACACATACTTATACATACACACATGCATACTTACAAACACTAACGTAAAAAACAGGAAAGTGAAAACACGTCGACGTCCTCCTTCAGGCAAGCATAGGATCAAGATGTACACACACTTGTCCATACTTGAATATTTACACACGCAAGCGTACAAAACACTCCCTTGTTTACGTTCACCCAGACAAACACCACAACTGGAGTGTACTGCTGTGAAGAACTGTTGGGTGTTGGCAACTGTGTTCTCATATTATTCAAGAACATGAGATACTAACAATCTGAGTCAATGTCTATACAATATATAATAGTTTGAGCCAAATAGTAAGATTGAGGTAAAATGATAACCCAAGCTGAGTAACAATTCCATCAACGTGAAACAAATAAAAACAGACTGAGTTAAAATGAGAACAACCAAAGCAATATACTAACAACCCGAACCAAATACTAAAAGATTGAGCTAAAATGCTAACAAACTAAACAAAGTGTTCACATTCAGTTAAATATCAACAACTCGAGCTCAATGCCAGGAACTAGCGAAATGTTAACTACCTGAGCTAAATACTACTGATTTAATCTAAAACTAACGAAAGCTAAATATTAACACCTTGATCTAAATATTAACAACTTGAGCTATATATTAACGTAAGCTAACTATTAATTTGAGCTAAATATTAACAACTTGAGCTAAATATTGACAGCACTTAGCAAAAGATTAACACAATGACCAAAATATTAAAAACTTTAGAAAATATTAATAACTTTTGTGAAACATTAACAACTTAAGTTCAATATTAACGATCTCAATACCACACTAATAACTTGAGCCAAATACTAACACCTGCAGACAATTATTAAGAATCTGACGTAAACAAGAGGCGCACACACAAACCCTAAGTGTAATGTGCCACTAGGGGTTCGAACTTATGGTCAGTTGACTCGGTTGGTGAGTCACGGAAATCCCATTCCATGGTTCGTCTCTCGGGTATCTTCCAATCAGCCACTTACCCCTACCAATCCTGCGACCACACCCTCCCTTCTTACCCTGCGGACACACGTCACTACCTATCCTGCGGCCACACAATCCTGCCTTGCCCTATATAGAAGTTGTGGCCGGAGGCGAAACAGCGGGAGGAAGTGAACAGGATCTTGTCAGGGGCGGTGAGACTTGCTCGAAGGCGCACGTCTTGTGCGAGTTTTTTTACGGGGGTGGTGTCAGTGTGGGCGTCAGCACTGCAATGCCAGCTTGCTTCGACCTTGGTACACAGGATCGAATTTCTCAAGGCACACGCTCAATCAATCGGTAGTTAATGGTGTTTTTTTTGCTGCATTGTTACTTGTAGCCGCGCAAAAAAAAATGTTTTTGTACGTCACATAAACATTCATTTGAAGTATATATCAAAGAAAATTCATGACAACAATAATATTTTCGTCATTAGTGTTTGTTTTAACTGCTCGATATCGAGAAATGGCGAGTCATGGGCAGCAAAAGGCAGCATGACTTTTAAACATCAGTATGAAAAAACCAAAAACGAATCAATTTTCAATGTCGGCTGATAATAAAACCAAGTATAAATTTGCGTTGATATTAAAGTTACATATAATTCCATCCAACAACATAATTTACTCTCATAATTTTTAAAACCAACTCAAACTAACGAATATGAATAAAAAAATATATTCATGAAAACTAACAGGTAACTGATACTATGATAACCGACCATTTATAGGCCTACTTGTTTACCACGGAGCCAAATGGAAATAAGCTTATGATAGCTTTGTGGGGTTATACTGTAACCTGGTGGAATGGACTAACTGTTTACCATTATATACCTGCACTGTCTATACAATATGTGGGTACGTACATATGCCTGCAAGAATAATGGTGTAGCCCTTGGTGGCGATTCCATACAAAAGGCATGAGTCCAACAACTAGGACGGAGAATGATTTACAACAAGACTACTGAGTGTAAACTAATGTATGAAAGTTTATAGTTTCTAAGCAATGGTCTTAATGAAATGAATGCAAGGTAATGTAACAAACTTTTAAATAACTGCGCATTAACCTATATATTTTAACTCATCATGCATCAACCTGCCGAGCAGCGATATTCTGTGAACCGAGTTTAAGAAGGTGAATTATGCCGTTCACGAGAGATGGTCAAGTTTATGAAAAAAAATAAAAATAAAAAAGCAAAATTAGCGAGGTCTTAAGTAATAAATCATAGTTATGTACAAGGGCGCGTTTATCCAGAGTTTAGAGACTGCAGTATCTTTGTAATTACCCTGTACTAACATAGGACACCGGTAAAACTTTGTCGCCTAGTACCCTTGCGTTGTGCAGGATTTGAACTGCTTTAGTTATTGTAAAATGTGACTTAAACATCAATTGCCCTGATTATATTACCGAAAGATCTACATGAGCTTCATGAATGGCTGCCATGATTCAATATCACGAAGTGCAAGAGGATGCACCTGGGTCGCACCAACAGTAAGAAGGTGAATCACATATCCCAAAAGAATGAAGAAACTGCATTAATTGAGACCGCATGTGAAAAGGACCTGAGTGTGTATGTCAACAAGGAATTTCTCACGCCACTGCGAGAAGGTGAATCAGGCAACGGAACTAGTAAGTCTTCTAAGAAGGTAGTTTAGATATCTGGAGGGTCCATCGTTCGTCACGATCTTCAAGTGTGAGGTGCTTCCCCGTCTGGTCCCCAAGATATGTTAGAGACTGTCAATTGATTGAAAATGTCCAAAGGAGGGCCACCAAACTGGTGCCTGCTCTACAGAACCTCAGCTACCCAGAGAGATTAGAATGCCTGCAACTGTCTAACTCAGATATGGGCAACCTGTCCTCAGTGATGGACCGCATTACGATTTAGGAACTTTTCTACGAGCCAACAGACCAAAATTTATACCCTACCTAACCAAAAAGTAATGTTAATTTTGTATTAGCACGAACAGTGAAACAGTTTATCGTCACGTCGACCTTACGATATTTTCAGCTTACAATAATAGTCTTTTTCCTATTTATGAAACAAATTCATCATAATTTTTAAAGTAAATTGTTAATGTGTCTTTATCATTTAACAGAAGATGAGTGAAGCAGCCTGTGAATAAGTTGGTATTTCCTCCAGTTACAACATTTGTCTTACTTATGAGACACACACCCACCAGAATAATGTCAATGTTAATCGGAGCATGAGGAACTATAATAAAACAACCTATAGGCACAATTATTTATCCAAGAAGTTGTGGGTGGGAAACATGGCGAGCACAGCGCGCCCACCCAGCTGGTTTTGGGGGGTAAATCTGGCACTTTGTGGCCATTTTGAAGCCATGTGCACTTGATATGAGGAGATATTTTGAGGTCAATAGTAATTACTTTCTACTGTACAAAATGCACGAGTATACTCCTGTATTAAAGAAAAAGTATTGGAATTTTTTATATGTATATATGCCCATGGATAGACCTATCAGAAAAGAATAAATAGATAGAACAGACAGCCAGGCATGAAGGATGAGGTGCTATGGAGAGTCTCTCAACCCGTGTGTCCACCGCCCGTGACCCCACTTGGACTTACCCAACCTTAGTTAATTCCCAAATGACCCACTGCCACATAGCTAATCCATCAAACAGACAGCACCAAACTTGGCCTGTACACTCAAGCAAGTTGAAACGTTTATATTCTTGACGATTCTTATTTCACTTTTACATTTTCATAGTTACTATATAAGCTTAATGAACAGAAAAGGTCTGATACTCCTAACATCTTGTTCACTGTATCCTTATACATTCCTTAACCATTTCACTTCATCTGCCAGCACTCTTAACATTACAAAAACTAAATGTCATAAGTTTTGACCAAGTCAACAAACACAACCCAACACCATACCTCATGGTTCTCTTTCCTCTTCTCTACTATCTGCCTTAATGTGAGCACTGCATCTGGTGTTCCTATGTTCTGCCCTGGATACTTTTTGCATAATCCTGCAAACAAACCTGAGTGGGAAAGGAAATATTGTTCCTAAGTGGGATGGCAGGCAGACAAATAGATGACCAAATGAAATTTACTATGGCTTTTTTCACATAATAAGGTCCATTAAGATTATATGTATACAGTACTGTGTTATATTAGCCATAAAGATAAGTTTCTATAAACAAATATTTACATATTTGAGGCAATGAGTGCGACAAGGTACTGTGGGGATGAGATTGTTTGGTTTACACTCAGGATGGAATGGAGAAAGGAAACTCACAATGTGCTCTCTATATACATGTTGTATTGGATGTACAATGCAGCTTGGTGCTGGGAAGGCAGCATGGTTACAAGCGTAATGTAGAGAGAGCTGGTTGGTGAGGACGCTCAGAGAAGGACAGCTTGTGGGTCGCCATGCTCGCCGGCGGGAGAGAGGACCGCCAGGCAGGCGGAGGAGGAGCGAGGACCGCCAGGCAGCGGCGGAGAAAGAGGTGTTGCTTGCTGCGGCTGTAGGTAGAAAGAGGTCAGGTCTTAAATAGCGGGGGTAGGCGTGGCTTAGTAGTTGACCCCCGCTCCGTGATGTATGGCGGCGCTGGTTGACCTAGACCACGAGGCGTACACTGGGGAATTGGTGGGGTCGACTACTCAGCGACAAACAGCGTTTGTAGGGGAGAAATCCACTACAGTACCAAGCACCAAAAATCACAATCAAGAAAAAAACGCTCTTAAAGTTTGGAAAATATCAAAATTACATAACTTTTAAACCAATGAAGATATTTCAACTGGGGGCCAAGCGCCAAAAAGTATAATAAAAATAAATAAATGCAGGTATACTTAAGTCTTAGTTATTATTAGAAATATTACAGAAAACAATGACTTGTATTACCAATATTACCACCCGCCCTCACTCCCAGCCACCTCCTACTCCCTCCATTTCCCCCTTTTGTTGTGATAAGACTCGTTACTCGGACAGGCCAGACCATGACACGCCACGTGCCACCAGCCCTCACTCACACCCTCCTTGCCCTCCCTTCTCTCTGTTTTGTTTATTTTTCTCTCAATGCCCCTCACTCCCTCCTTTCTGCCTGTTGGGAAAAAAAAGAAAAAAAGAAAAAAGGTTCAAGTGTTCTTACATAGCATTCCTATGACATTTTGGAGAAACATGGACTCCCATCAGCTAAGAAAATGGAAAATAAAGAGTCGCTATGAGCGAGAGACTGTGATTAGGAGCCGCGGGCGCTTGTCCCCTTCGAGGCACAGATCACGTACTGTAGAGGCGCTTTCACCTACCTTCACTAATATGGCCCTCAGCCTTACAAATATTGCACTACTGGGAGAGTTTGTGTTTCTGCAGATAAAGGAAAGGTTGGGGAATACAGACAATATTATAACTCAATTGAAGGCTTGGTACCTTGTCGCACTGGCGCCTCATTTATTATACAGCACTGAAATGGATATATGTTGTTAACTATAAGAAATTTTGAAATTCAAACAAAACACTAAAATGAAACACTGTACAGTACTTCAAATATTGGTCACAAAATGTTTCTGTAAACTCAAATTTACACTCAATATTGTAAAAAAATCAAAGCTGTAAGAATAAACTATATTAGAAAAGTGAAAGTAAATTGACTTTCTTTCACCAATACTTGATGGGTCTTTTTGCAGTCATTATGCATGATTTGGGGCAATTTCTAAAGAATCAATTGTGCACACATAAAAACAACTCTTGCTACAAGCATCTCCATGGCTCTAGAAGGTGTACAATTTCAATTTTTTCTTATGTATTTCATATGTGAAAAAGTATTTATATTTCTTAGGGAACCTTCTATATTTCACTAAAGACAACCATAACATACAAAGAAAATTTTAGACACTGCATGGATTATATCACCATTAGTGCACATTCCACTTCCCATCAACATAACCTACATAAATTAATTTACACTATCTTTTTATTCATTAATTTGGTGTATTCTACAATATTTTATTTATTTATTATTTGACTTTTGTGTTATTACGATTATTATGTATGACATTGCTTAGCTAGTCAATTATTGAAGTCAGGTCAATAATGGACAATATTTCCTATAAAGGGACTTTACTGGCTCGGTCTGCTAGTTAAAATAGACAAAAGAAACGTCCGTTACTGGGAATATCCGTTATTAAGAAGTACATTATTGAAAGGTTTACTGTATTCATGTTACACAAAATCCAACAAAATTATGTATGGTACAGTCGGGGTCAAAAGTTTGCTCCCTCCTAATATGAAACCGCATCGACCCCAAACAAGATAAAACAGTACAATGGAACCAGACAAGTCAGGGTAAGTAAGTTCAGAAACCCATTCCAGTGACTTAGTTTTACCACGTGGAGCGAACTTTCGTCCGCGACTGTACAGTAGGGTTAATCATATGAAAATTCCATTAACTGTAAAAATTAGGTCTTATCTGGACTGGTGAACTGAGCTTCCTCCTTGTACAGTCATCAATAAAATGAGTACACCATCAGCCGTGTTCTTTCACTGAATGTGGAAAAACCCTTCAATGGACGAACATCCTGCCAAGGGGTGGGGTACCCCACTAGCTGCTGAATGTTAAGAAACGGGATTAGCACCTGCCTAGCCACCCATTGTAAGCAGGAAAAAAATTAATTATACAAATATAAATTATATTGAATTTTATGTTGCTATAAATTAAATCAAATATCATACAAACATTGTACAATGGATAAGATTTGGCTAATATATCTTAAGAACTCACCGGGGAATATGGTGGTTTACACTATTTTTGTTGAAATAAGTTTATACACACACAAAACTAATTTATAATGCTGATCTAATACACATGTCTTCTCCCAGCACTGTGGTGTAGCATCCTCACAGGCAAGATAAATAACTTACTGCAGCCTAATTTGACAGGGAGTAGCCTCATGTGCCTTACTAAATCTACACCATAAGCGGTAATTCTCCACTTTTCCTTTAGTGTATAGGAGTCACTAGTTGAAGCTATTATAGCTTTCTCTTATTGTTATTTAAACAATTTCTGAATTTATGATTTTATTTGTATATACAATTCTAGGCCCTTTATACAGTGCACATCATACAAGACCCTCCGCTCTACACACTGGAAAATGTGCAGTACCCATGTCCCTTGCTTCATTACCCATGTACCTTCTGAGGACCTCTGCAGTAGTTCTATCTTACAAGGCCTCACAGATAGTCCTGGGGATGAGGTATTTTGACCTGCATTTTCACCTTGGAGCAAATATCTAAGCTACATCGATATGTGGAATACGTGAGACCTGGGTAATACAAAACCACTCAATGTCTACATGCAAATACAGAATGCTTAAAGCACTGTCAAACTTCTTCATCTTGTCACTGACTACAAAATAAATCTTTTACTAAGTTGGGCATACATGATCACAGTAGTAAGTAGTTCCAGTGTGTTGACATAATTCATTTCACCTAAAATCTATCTCTGCCAGATATATAATTCAGGCAAAAAGATACCTATAATATGATTCATATGTTGAATATTTCACTTCAAGGCTCTACAGGTCAAGTGGGCTGTGGTGCCGGGATTGAACAGCACAAAAACTACCTCTACTTACAAACTGCACTTGAGTGTTTAAAACTTGCGAAATCATATATATAATATATATACTTCTTTGCATCACTATCAAAGTGTAAAAAACATGCCGTTTCCCAATTAACTATGAACTATTTTACTCAAGGAGTCTTACAAAATTCCAGCCTGAGGTACAACAAGGACCTGGGTACATGTATCTCTGTCTTGCTGCTCAACTTGAGCATCTGTTGTGATTTGTGTATCAAGGCTTGTTTTACACTCATAACTTTCAGGTAATATTATACCCCTATGTGTTTATGATGCCAATGTATACAAATATTTTAATTTCACACAAGTCACAACTGATCATTAGATGAGCTTAAGATACATCAAACAACATTTATCTTCCCAACCCTCACACTACAGTATATGCCCAGGAAAATAGAAACTATTTTCTTTGTGTTTTTCTGAAAGATGTATGATAAAATACCAGTTCCATTATACCCAGCCACTGGCAGTTTCTTATACTTGATTCACTCGATAGGCATATTAAGAAGGGTACACACAATTGTGTCAAGTAAACATACGAAACTAGTAGTAACTGATATTTTGATTGACGATTACCAAAATACAAAAGTTTAAATGTTCACATTTCTGTGAATTATTCTAAGCTATATACTTGTTTCTTTCTCAGGTTCGAATCCTGGCGGGTTGAGGTGTTGATTGTGTGTATATATATATATATATATATATATATATATATATATATATATATATATATATATATATATATATATATATATATATACTATTACATAGAGATATACAGGGTGACCTGACTCTCACCCACCACCCAAACATATATACACACACACACATATATATATATATATATATATATATATATATATATATATATATATATATATATATATATATATATATATATATATATATATATATATATATATATATATATATATATATATACAGTATAGGATCTGTAAAAGTCCCCATCGAAAATACATTACAGTACTTTTCAAAATATTTTCAAAATAATGTGGATGGCATTTTTGGCATGATAAAATTGACATATCCTATTTTATTACTATCTGGCTCGTATCTTTACATGTCACAGTTACACCAGTCCTACAACTGCACACTCTAAGTACACATGGATTAGAAGATGTGCATCCTAAAACGAATACAAATCTTTGTTCTGGCATAAGAAAACTATCGCATAAGCAAACACATACCAGCATACAATCTGTCTAAAGGTGAGAAAAGGAGAGGAAAAACAGTGGGAAATAAAAGTTACAACAGATGTCTCCAATCTCTTCACAGGGTTTAGTGGCTTTATCAGATCAGGCCCCCCTCTCCCATTGTCTCAAGTTTCTGATATACATAAAATGGTGCTATTACCTTTCTGTTTAAAGGAAGGGGGAGCCTAATTACAATAATTATGGAAGCACACTTGAACACTATGGGTAACACTTCATTATTATAAAGCATTACATATTCTTATTGTGCACTACGTTTGACCTAATTTAAAAACTAACCTTTCTGACAGTAAAATCCGTTTTCATTAAGGAAGGGGTCACTTTGCTTCTTCATGAGAGGGGGCTCTCTGGATAAACAGATTATATTACTCCATCACTAATATATTGTTCAAGCATACTGAAACCAAACATTCAACTGTCATGAGTATCTTCTCTGGGCGTCTGATATATAATCCACAGATTGCACAAACTTTCATTTCTTTCTTTCATCTTGCTGGCACGTATGCATATACCATTTTGAACTCAAAATATATGATTAAAAAAAGAAAAAAATACCTAAAACACTTATATGGCACATTGAGCAACAGTAACATCGCTACTTCTATATAGGAAGATTCCATACAAAACGTGGGAGGGATTTTTACAGCTGTATGTGACATGGACCATGGAAAGGGGATATTGAGGTATGTGTCACAGGGACCATGGGAAGGGGAAAAGTGTTACAGGTAAAGCAGGAGTTAGGGATGGGCACACATATTACAAGGACTATAAAAATACCATATTGAGGCCGTCACACGGACCATTAGGTTTTCAAAAGAAACAAGCAACAGGCAATTTATGCCTGGTTACATATTAAAGGAGTCTTGAGAATGGGATACGAGGTTTTATAACAAGGATCACGGGTAGGACGCATGGATACAATGTCACAAGGAACGTATTTGAAGTTGTGTCAACTTATGCATCCCTGGGTTCATGGGATGGAGATAAATGAGGTTGCATGTTATAAAGGAACACTGGTAAGTGCAATAATTGTCACAATGAAAATGAAAGTGACTATGTGTTCGTATGTATTAGTTACTTTGACAGGATGTAGTGAAGGGAATGTCTGAAGAAATATGACAGAGCAATGAAGTGTGTTGATGAAAACACAGTCAGATGCTTCACAAGTATTATCAAAAGAGAAAGTTAGAGGCCATGTGTTGCAGGAAACAATGGGAATGCAATGGATTCAGACACTGGTTGGACATGCTACCTATGAATGCAAAAATAAAGGCACTATCTAAATCCATCTTCACAAAGCTGCACAAACATCCTACCAATTCTACATTCTGCAAGGAAATAATTTTACTGCAATGGGAGACAAAAGCCACAGGTGTATTTTCTTGGCCCCTCCCAGGGTGTGTGCAGTAATACTAGGTTTATTTTGGTTTTAATCACAGTTATCTGTAGTGTTCCAATTCAGTATAAAATCTTAACAAAATTGAGACAACAAATATCCTTATAGGTTCACAATTATAAAATGTAACTAAACTTCACATGCAAAAAAAAAAAAAAAAAAAAATATACAACAGATCTTCAAAACAAAACACAGGGAGTGATCAGAAACAACTACAATTACTGCATATTGGTTTTGTCAATGATTATTGTAATATATAAAAATCTTAACAGCTTAAATTCTAATTACGAACTGTACTCAATCATAACACTTCAAATTGACCCACACTAATTGTATCTAGGCTAATTTTTCTGCATTCAACACTTATGTACAAAGCCCTCACACATCCCAAACAGCATCTATTTACATCACTGGTACTAAAGTAAACATGCACAGTCTTGTAGTTTAGAGAACCACCATTCTTGTGCTTCACTGATAATGTTTGTGCCAATTTCTGGTAATCTCTATAGCAAGTGTGTACTAACAATGAAAACAAGCTTTTTATCTGCAGTGGTTTCCCTATGCAATGTATATTAACAATACTGACCTACAAAATAATTTTCATCTTGTGCAAGAAATGTTTGACAACCATTTGGTGTTGCCATACCATAATATTGATGTGATACACATCAACCATGTTTATATAAAAAAATGAGGATAATTGTGAAGATAGAGCAGGATCAACTCAGGCCACATTGTATCTTTCCTTACAGCAGAGGTCTTTCACTTCACCCTCCATCACACTTAAAAACACTTTTGATACAAAGCCACTTTGGGTCTGCTTTCCAGATGCCCACACCATCACTTGTTTAAGTCCACAGATAATTCATAGTAAATAGAAATATATTCCAGTATAAGGCTATGGATTGATGTGGACAAATCACAGTACAGAAGGTGGGTAAGTCTAAGTTTTCATTAAACTTAGGTTGCCAATACTTCATGTTTGGCCACACGTACAGTGCACACTGACACTAATCCTGCTTTCCTAAATACTGGTTATAGATCAGAAGGCTGGTGGGTATTTGAGGTTGATTCTATGTAGAAACTTTTGACATAGCTAATGTGGTTTTTGGGCGGTAGTTAGACTTCCGCCATGAGCGACTGTGATTCAATGGGAGCAGCGGAGTCATAAAGGGTATCTGTATCTTGAGTCGGCTCTCCCTGTAACTGGCACTGGTTGTTTAACGTTCCTGCACCGCAGTCACAGAAAAACCTGAAAGACAATTTCAGATTTAAATGAAGCAGTATTATGTAGCTACAGACATATGATGGCATAACAAGAAACTCAATCTCTATAACCTTATTCCATTGACTTAGCTTACAAATATCTTACTTATCACACTGCAATATCTTGTGTTTTTCGATTAGCAACTCCCAAAAATATATCATACCTCTTTTGGTTCTGTATTTGTTACGCTTGTATGGGTTAGCCATAATCACCTGCTGTATAGTGTCCAAATTGCAATCATGCAAGATTGAAGCAAGATTTACAGTTAGAAGCCCACCAACCCACTTTTACAGTGCCCCCTCTTAGCTGGCAATATAACTTCCACACAAATATTTACAGCAGTGTGGACTTCACCAGTCCAAACTTCACTATACCATTAGGGTTATATTTACTTTCTTTAGAGGATTCTGCAACCTAAGTTTTGAACTCTCCACTGTTTAAACTATTACACAGTTACTCAAGTATTGATCTGTATTCAACTGTTGGAACATCTCCCACTTTTTTATCATCTAACACATGTCGAAGATTACTCCTTCTCAAACATGGCAGTCTTTCTAATAATCACTTTCATGATATATTTCCTTCACCATAAACACTGAAATATCTTATCACTTGTATTTTTTGAGGATTCCACTAACATTCACATATAACACCACCAGTGACTCGTTTCTTTCCTTTTAACTCTTCAACAATTGCCTGCACTCCTAGCCATAACCTCACAATACAGGTATATTTCAACAGCATATAGACAGAACAACAAAGTGACAAAACATCATTTAATCCTACCCAAACACTATTCAAATTCTAGAAAATTAAAAATTTGGAAACCTAAACATCGTGGTCTTTTTATTCACAATTCAAATGTAATAATTATACACAAGTTACTTAAAATCCTTTTTTTTTTCTTAATTCCTTAAATACTATGGAAATTAGAAGTCATTGTTGCCTTTAAAACTCATATGTAATACAGTATTTACAAAGCAGCATACAGTACAGTGCCATAAATTAAAAAGAAATTATACGCTCTCACTACCAGACCAATTGGATAAATTTCTAAGCATTCACCCACCTTACAAAATATTCATCCAATGAGCTTGATGATATGCTTATATTTAAACTTGTAATTTGGGGTAAATATACATAATTTTCTTCATTAGTTTTTCTCAGTTACATGCACACACAATCCTACAGATGGTCAGTGACACTTTTGTTTTCATTCCCTCTTCATTTTTATAATATAATATAATATAATAAAATATAATATAATAATATGTACACTCTCTAAAAGGTATTGGCAATAATTTTTTAAGACTATTCAAGGGTACATACAGTACAGAATAAAAAAAATTAGAATTAATCCTGATGCAGTTCTACAGACAGCAGTTGAAAGGGCAGGTGGTGGATCATGGTAAACCTAATTAATAAAATTACTGTACTCTATTTAGAATATTTTGGTTGGTACTTTTCAAAGCCAAATTTCAAAACAAACAAAAAACATATACAAAAATTTACATATATACTATACAAACATCCCAACCATGACGCAAGCTAAAAGCAAAAACTTATGCTAAAATTAATCAGTTTAGTAATATTGCAGCAGTCACATCTGTAAGGGAGAGTTCATAGATTATACATACCTGTCATGACGGATAAATTCCACTACATGTCCGCTATGACACGTTTTAATGCAGTTTACACATATGGCGTTTCGTTCAGTGGTATTACATGTGCGACAGCGGTAGAAGTCGTGCATGGGGAAGCTGGTGTACGATGATATCTTGTATAGGCACTGGCCACTTGATACAGCTTTCTCTACTGCATCATGGTTATTAAAAATCTTATTGCCTGGAAGAAAAATTAAAGGTAAGAACTAGACAAAACTATATACTGTGCTGTAAAAATAAAATAATTGTGTATACTCATCATCCACATGGGTAACAGCACAGAATTGAAAATAAGGCATGGTGAAATAAATAGCACTTGGATACATATAATTCTAAAAGCACCTAACTGTGGAGTAAGTTTACATTCTGCATTCACCACCCGTCCTGTATCTAGAAACATTTAATGTCACATCACTGAATATTGAAATGTCAATAGAAATCTTGGGAAAATGATGCATGAGGCCAACCTGAAAATAAGGAGCATTCCCAAAACAAATACTGTATTGCTCGAAGCTTGAAAAATCATTCGGGTTTATAATTTCATTCCTTAACTTCTCTATTTACCTCTCAAGACTGATGAGGTACTGTTGTCATCCATGCCAATGTAAATTGTAAGCACTTGTACTTGTGTGAAACAAAATCTTAACAATATACAGTAACTAGTCTCAAAATGATGTATGAACAAGAAAATTGATGGGCATCATCATTAAGAATTAAAATGTACAGTATGTGCTTGGGGAGGGGGGGTTCCAGAGATTAGAAGAGTTTTACAACACCATCATCTCCCGATCACACGGTTCAGTGTGTTCAATTGATTGAAAGGCATGATATAGTTCCACAATATGAACAACTGTGTTCTGTGGTAACATGATGTCAAGAAGCCAAATAACAAAACACAGACAAGAAAGAATTGTTGATTTTCCCAAGCCCAATTTCAATGTGAATGAATTTGACACAAAACCATAAACTGCCACAAGTAAACAAGGAATCTATAATATAGGAATATACTGTATATCACCAGTAGATGGCCCGAGTAAAAAATTCAATACCTGTAAATAAATATATACGTATATAAAATATAAAGGGTGTACATTAACTGCTATGTTTGGGGATGGTATGTGGCATACTAGGTAAAACAAAACTTATGGATTTAACAAAATGAGTAAGACAGAGAGAGGAGGCACTTACCTCTTTGGATAGGATTCACCCCTGAAGCTAAACAAAGACCACCAAAACGATTATTAAATATTTGGTTGTACTCTAAGGTTGCTGTGGCATTATTTGTTATTTCGATGCCTGCTGCCAACCCATCGTATATCTGGTTCCTTCTTAGACTAGGGTGGCTTTGAGTTGGATGACTTTGGGTGGATATTAGGACACCTGCCTGTGCATTACGAAAAATGTCATTCTCTTCTAGCAAACCTGGAAAAAATACACAAAATAAATAAATAAATACTAGAACCCCATACTTTTTTCATACCTCCTGCTATGTGAAGGCAAATTTATCAGGAAATGAATCACTGTCATACACTGGCTTGTATTTCACACCAAGATTGATACCCCATGTCTCGCCCAACTTACCTTTTCCTCCATTAAATATACAAATGCCAGCTTCTCTTCCGTCATATATTTTGTTTCGCCGCAAAATGGGATTACTATCTGTTTTGATCCATACACCTGCCATGGCATTATCAAATATCTCATTTTGTTCTAGAAGTCCCAAACCTCCATTATATACCAGAACACCCCCATTCTGTCCACCCCATATCTTGTTTCGACGGATGATTGGGTTACTTCCAGTCCTGAAACAACAAGAAATGGTCTTGCTATATTAAAAATGGAAACTTTGATATGTAGCACTGAAACTCCTCAATAGGAGAAGATAAAACACAGTAAAAATAGAGGGATATCACTATAATGATTTGTGGTACTGAATAATTTCTTCAAATATTAAGCAGAGAATAGAAAAGAGTTTTACATACAAGTTAATCTGGGGATAATACTATAAGACAAACAAGGTGGCTTCAGCTGTTCATGGAAATATTACTGTGGGATTTAAGTTTGTTACTTTTTCTTGTTTGTTTTTTTAGGACACACCATCTACTGATGTACCATACTATTTTTTATTTTGTCTGACCATGGAAACCCATCAATTTCAGTTAGACACTGATGGAAATCAAGGATGTATTTGGTATCTCCATGTCCTGAAGTATAGCTTGAGTTGATGATGCACCTACCATACACAGTATGTCTATGAAATGGTTTATTTCAACTATCAACGTTTTCCTTCATCAAACTTTACACTAGTTATTAAAAGTCGTTATTTTAGTTGATAGTCTTCTAGGAGAACTTCAATATCTTCTCTAATAACAGAAAGAAAGATCACTTCAGACTTTGAGGTGTATCTTCATCCGCTTTTCATTGAATGTTCAATGCTATCTATCAATCACACCTTGTAGATCTTGTATCTGCTACTGATCATCACCTGTACACAAGGATAAAATCTTGTTTGTCATAGCAGTCACCCCATATTATTCACAACTCTACTCCCTTGAAATAAACTAACTACCGGTATTAATAGCTCTACAGTTAAAGTTTTATGAGGACAGAACATCAGTACCAAGAGACTAATTTTTACTTCTTTAACTACATCTCTATTTCCTGATTATTCACTTTCTTTGAGTGGATTCTCCAATATGCAATCCAAAACTTATAGTGGTAATATAATGTCAGGTACCTTTAATAAGGAGCAAGGTTATAAAAGGGTATGTATGATTCTCCATATCTGTTTACAATAGTATTTAAAATTTTCATTATCTATAAACATCTGACCAATGTGCAATGGGACCCTGACCATAAAAGAAAACCATCTGAACACAGACCATAATATTGTACTTCCATGGGATAATGAAGCCAACTATTAAGAAAACTAGTAAAAAAGATGAACAGATGACACAATGGGACTTTTTTATGCCAAAAAAGTAAACAGAGAAACACTTCATCATAAAAAGAAAATGTTCTTAATAACTTACCTAATTTGTACACCTGAGTATAAATGGTTGAAAATATCATTATCTTCCAGAAGCCCATGGCCATTGTCATAAAAATAAACTCCCACTTGCTTGCCTGAGTGGATACGATTCCTCCGTAAAGTAGGCGTGCTCCCTGGAAAAATACAATATAAATTTAACTGACTACAATATTTACCAAGGGAATTCAGAAAAAGCATGGTTATGTATCTTCATTTAAGACAATTTGAATGGACAATAACAATTAAAAAGACAAATGGATAGACAACAGACTGATGGAATATGTCACTTTGAAACCCAGGTCACATTGGGTTTTAATTTTGCCAGACAATTACCTGTGGTAATCCAAACTCCAGCGAGTGTATTAGCATACACTTCATTACATTCTATGAGACCTTGACCCTTTTCATGTACATAGATTCCTCCATGCTGACCATCATGGATCTTATTGTGCCGTACTATAGGATCACTGTTGGTACGGATCTGGATACCAGCTAATGCATTACCTGGGGAAAAATAAAATAAAAATAAAATTTTATGTCCAGTATACAATAAAGAATGTATACATCTTTGAACAATGATTATCTTTCTCTAACTCACATTATCACCATGTACAGTATGCTTTTTACCACCTTCAGAATATAGCACTACAGAATTATTTTTCAGAAAACTCCCACATAACCTTCCTATTATTATCTAGAAAATGTGATTTTCAAGGATGATGAACTTACCATATATATTGTTGTGCTCTATAAGTCCTCTGCCATCTCCAAATATATAAACACCACCTTGAAGACCATTGTAAATCTCATTTCTTCTGATTGTTGGATTGCTGTTTGAAGTTATCCACACTCCTGCATATTTGTTGGAGTGAATTTTGTTTTCTATAAATTGGCCCATTCCATGCTCATGAACATATATACCTCCTGTTTGGCCATTGTGTATTTCACATCGCACAACTGTTGGGTTAGCCTGAGCCTTCACCTCAAAGCCAGCGATACGATTGTTGTGGATGTCATTTGCCTCAAAGTATCCCTGAAACATAAAATTTTGGGAGTGAAATATTATATGTTACGATGGAAAAAAAGAAAGAAACAAGAAATGCCAACATATGATTAAAAACCAAGAATAATAAAAAGCTACTACCAAGACAATTCTAAAAACTTTATACAATAAATATACTGCACTATGAAAAAGAAACAGAGAAATAGAATACAACTTTCTAAACAAGAATTTTACCAAAGCATACACTAAAATCAACCTTATTCATCACCTTTGTGCCACCATTAGTATATTTAAAATACTTATGAATGACTTTGCAATTCATAGCCTATACACTTTTTTGTCAACTGTTGTCACTATTCCATCTCCCATCCACAACATTTTAACAGTGATTCCATTCACTCCTAGTGCCTTACTATTCTCAAGCTTGCTTACACCTAGTCTCATGTTTATCTCCTAGCACTTTCCAAAAAGGACAATTCCACCCCTCTATCATCCATTACATCGAATAATTGAACATATTGTCACCACTTCCCTTTTACTTCCCCCCTTTTCCTGCAAATATCTCCACTTTCATTCTAACCTCTCATCCCAGCAAATCCCTTTCTTGTTTTTCTTCATATTTTCTTGTACCCACAAAATATAAAACAGATCAATAAATTGAGTGTTACAAGATATTCAACTCACCAGTCCTCCATCAAAGCAGAATATTCCTACATCTTTTCCATGATGTATGTGGTTGCGTCGCATGATGGGATTTGCATAGTTCTTGACCCATATTCCAGCCAGGGCATTACGACTGATCTCATTGTCTTCGTAGTGGCCCTGCGCCCGGTCAGTAATGATGAGGCCTACATTTTCACAGTCACTTATTTCACAGTGACGAATTACTGGTTCTGCACCTGGACCACTCACACTCACTGCTGCTCCCACTGTAAATGAAAGGCAAGTCATGTATTGGTAATCATAGTAATCTCCCCGACCCCTGAAACTCTCCAAAAGCTGGAATTGAATGACTCAGAAAACTTTCCGAGGATGTGGGCTAGTGCCTGTCTGTGCAAGATGCATAGTTTAGACTCTGGGAAATTTTTCCAGTACAGTATGCAGAAAAATTCTGATGGTGTGGGATTTTTTGGGGGGGTTTGAGAGAAATTTTTCGTTACCCGGAAATCTTTCATCATTGGAAGAGTTCTGCACCAATTGTTCCATTTAATGGGGATATCACTGTATGTGTAAAAATACAAATAAATAATACTTGAACTGAAAAAAATTTCAGATTTTTCATTTGCAATTTATCAAGCACCAGCTCACTAGACTGTGCCATAAAATATGTATAACTCACAAAAAATCCATCCATTCTGCAGTACAAAACCATCCAATACACTGAAAGATAACTAAAATACTCATACTGTAGTTTACAGTACATTTACAGGGAAATTGTATTCAAGAAAATTTTTTACAGTACATTATACTGCAAAAAATATGCTTCAGAACTCCATGTGTTCATAGATAGTGACTGAACTGTGACAATTTTAAACTTGCATTACTTGCACACATTGTATTGGCTAATTTTTCTTCATTATAATACTGTAATTATGACCATACTGTAGAGTGATTTGATAGTATTTACTGCTATTACACTTTCAAAAAATATACAAGTCTCTTATGTTATTGTCTCTTACCATAAGCAATCTACATCAATAATTTAAGAACTTCAGTGAATAACTAGAGGTACTGATACTTTAGCATATACATCCTTAAGAGAAACTATGACATTAAAACAACATGAACCAGAGTGAGCAGTAATCTGGTTACCTTATACAAGAGAAGGTCTTAGAATCCTTTCAAAATTAAACCCACACAATACTCTGACCACACCTGGGATGGGGACAAAACCTATAAGTATGGGGAGCCAGTCCAACATTGATTCATTACTTGCACAATAGTGTTCTGAAGGTGATTATAAGACACCATCTCTCTGTGCAAATAAATGCTTATTAACCAAAAAATATGAGGAACAAAAAATTTCGAAAAAGTGAGGAAAAGTTACATTTTAGATATTGTATAAAAGGAAAAATTTACCTTTCAAATACATTATTACTATAAATAAATAATAAAACAGTAAAGGACATAATATGAAACCAAAGTTAGCTATTGATGTGCCATGAAGCCCTTCATGATCCAGTAGCAACTCTAACACATGTGATGAAGCCCTCTCCAGGACCCAAGGAAGCCTCAGGAGATGAGCCAGAAGCCCTCTGTTGTAGCAGTGGGCTACACTAGCTGTGTGATGGGGCTCTAAACTTTTGAGAGAGAGAAGCACTACCAGAGATGTACAGAAGAGCCCCTATCCCCCCCCCCAATAGGTATTGCCACACTAAACAACTATTTATTATTTCTATTACTTTTCCTTAGCCTTCATACTCTTGTTTCATTAAGTTTCTATCCTTATCCTCTTTCCACCCTCCCTTCTCTCTTACTAGTCAATGCATCTGTGTGTTTCATTTTAGTAGTAGTAAAAAATAAAAAAAAAAATAAAAATAAACACCTGTCCAGTCACTGAGAAGCCTGAGGTAAATCTCCAACACAAACTAAAGAGACAGTTTAATTAATAAATATACACTCAGCCTAACTATTTTAAGTAAAATAAAGCCAACCAATTATAATAGTGTTACTTACAATGAGAAATACTGCGAATAATACAGTGTTCTATAGTGGGGCCACAATTCTCTTGGATTTCCAGTGCATAATGTTTGTGGTGCTGCATAGTTTCTGTACAACTGGGAGGGGAAAATTTTATTGTGACATAACCCAGGTAGGCTTTCTGCGCTCCCTCCATAAACATCACAGTGGATTCACATTCTCGTTCTAAGATCACATTTTCTGCTACATTACCTGAAAAAAATAATAAATAATAATAAGAGATTATGAACATTACACCTGCATTCCTCAGAAGTATCTAATATATATAAATAATGTTAATAAACTAACTCCTTACTCTTTGATTAGACAGAGGTAATGCAACCATCAAATAAATGCATGGAAAGGGTCTTGACTTATTACAGTGTTTTGTCATGTGTAATATTTGTGTACAGGGAAAAATGGATGAACCTTGTGTTTAAGGATGGTCAACCTTATGGCTAACTAGGCTGAAATTTGTTTTAATGTGTAGAAGATGCCACCAACACAGCAACCAAACCTTCGGCTAGTGAGGAATATAACCCGGTGTAAAGAAACAACCCTGGAAATCCAGACAACTCACCAACCTCAGTAGCAAACCATTACTCCAAATTGTGTGCTACCAAGAGATCAACTTCCAACTCCCAAATTAATGCTAGAAAGACAATGACATATGGCACATACTGTAGATACCTGCCTCAAATAAACCCTACTGACCACTAATTAAATCCTAGGTCCCAAATTACATAGAATATGCACAAGGCAAATTCTGGAAGAGCAAAGATATCATAACAATTCAGCTACTGGCCCCATTAAATAATAGGACCTCAGTATCAATCCTTACTTTTTTGTTGATGCTCTCTGCTGAACGGCTCGTTACACTATGCAGTACCTAACTGTTCAGGAGGTGTGACCCTGGCACCTTAGCTGTGAATTTTTGCTGTCAGTTAGTACTAGTGATAATGGTTTTACCATGACAGGAGTACTATTGCCACTGGAGTCAAACCAAAACAACAATATGAAGACTCAAGATGAACTGCCTATCTCTTACAACTCTTGCTTTGTATTGTGATCAGTATAAACATAAGAATAAAAGTTATTGACTGCAGTGGTTTCTTTTATTATGGATTGAAAAATGGAAGATGCAATAGAATGTGTACAGGGTAATAATGTAAGAAAGATTTTGGGGTAATGATAAGTAAGAACCTAAAATCAAATTGCCAATACATTTATGTTTGAAAGAAAACCAACAAAAAATACTAGCGTTCATATCAAGGAGAGTTAGTAACAAGACAAGCGTAGTTATCTTTAAACTACATCTCGCATACGAGAGACATAACATGGATTATGCAGTTCGTGTGTATGTATATAAATACTTGATAAATAAGCTTCGTGTTATTAAATACAGTATAGTATTAGCCATGTTTTGACCAGGGAATCCAGCTCAAAATTGGCAAGAAATTGACGATAGCAATCATCCAGGTAGTAGGTAGATAGGCAGCTATCAAACAGGGAGGTACTACTGCCTGGGAAGATATTGGAAGCATAATGTGTTGTCTAATGGTAGACCCTGCTGCCATATGGCATCACGAAAATTGTGACCAAGTCCCAGGTTGCTGATCTGACTTTCTGCCTCATTTACACACAATTGCAGGGTCTCACTTGTTTCTCTTACTTGGACAACACAACATATATAATGTACTGTATATAATTTCTCACTTTTGATTTATTTTTTCAATTTTGTATTTATTTATGGTTATTATTTAGATTATTTTGATTATTTTTATTTTCATTAATTTGCTATTAATTTTATTAATTGTTGTAATAATAATGATAATGGATATTATTATTATTATTATTATTATTATTATTATTATTATAATTATTATTATCTATTATTATATTTTCGCCCCCCAGGCCCTGATGTGGGTCATTATCTGTGCCCGGGTGGGCTAATGCCTGTATAAAAAAAAAAAAAAAAAAAAAAAAAAAATTGCTCCAAAAACTTGATTGAAATAACTTTCCAGCAAGAAATTTATCATGAAAGCATTCATGTGACTGTAGCTTAATGAAGGGAATGCAAACTATTTCTACTTACTGTACCTTCTGACCCAAAGCAAAGAGTAAGAGGATGCTGGGGAGGCTTTGGACAAAGTTGAAGAAGGAGAGTACTGTACAGTTAACCAATTCCCGCCGGGTCAAAAATAGAGGCTTCCAAAACTGTAATTCCCGAAACAGTTTCAGTTTCTTTATGACGAAGTAAACTGGCAATGGGAACAAAGACATAAAACTGTCTCCATATATCCCAATCCAAAGTGAAAGTGACCACTCTATGGGTATTAGCTAGTCTGTGATCATTTGCCATCACAATCAAATTCATCAGAGGAATTGGTAACCCCAAGAGAAAAACCCTTAAAAAGAGACTAACCATGTAACATCCAAATAGAATGATCACACTAATCCCTAGACAAAGCACCAACTATAACTTTTCATGCTCCAGCTTTGTGCACTGCAAAAATTGAACAGGAAAACTTCTTTTCAGTATAAAACATGAAAAAAGGCATTAAGGATGCAGTAACATGAGCTGTATGTTGGAGAATTACATAACAAGAAGGATGGCATGTTATGTATCTATACAACTAATTAGTTTGTAATATACAGTCAGTTCTGCTATAACGCGATAGTTGTGTTCTTGTAAAACATCGTGTTATAGAAATTCGCGTAATAGAAATAACAGGGCTTAGGGAGAAAATAGGGTTAGGTGCAGATTACTACTCGAAATCGAAAAAAATTTTGTAGTTAGCCTAACACAAAGGATAGCACAGACTAAATAAATGTTACATTCATATCTAATAATGAAATCATGCAGTAAATGTAACACTTTACCTTGAAAAAATATGAATATAACTTGATGGGGGAGAAGGGTGATTTTGAGGTTGATAACATCGAGCTTCTCTTCAAGGGTTATAGCCTTTCATTTACGATCATCACCGGGAATGCGATCACCAGAACGCTTCTTGGAGATATTCTTCTTTACCATATTCACAGTTAATACCACAAAATTGGAGAAACAGTGAGCAAAAATCGCGTTACAGCAAACAAGCGTTCGCATTATACAAATATCGTTCCTCTATTCATAAATCGCGTTAGAGCCAATTCGCGTTGTCAAAACACGCGTTATAGCAGAACTCACTGTAGTAGAAATAATCATAAAAACAAGGGTTTGTTACAAATCTTATACTCCAGTGTACTATAAGATCAAAGATCCAGAAAAGAGGTAAGATACAATGATAACATACATACAGCTACCTCCACATTAATGTAACACGACCTGGGAGTGTGTGAGGGCTTGGGTACGAGATGTGGCAACGCAGCACGGTAGTTATGGACGTAAAACCGTGAATTACCCGGTTCGCTGGTTACATGACAATGCTACATCACACGTACTACAGGCTTAGTTTATCCCTTTACCTTCTTTATTGTTTGTATCTTATCACAAACAGGGTAATTTCAATGTTTCACTCTCATGCATTCATCCCTGACTAAGGCGCTGCATTGCCATGGCTCAGAGCTGAAGGCTTGGGTACCCATACCTGAGCTGTGGTTCGTTTATCTGGAGGCAACTGTACACAGGCATAGCAAACATGGATGTGAAGATATTCTGTAAAGCATAACATTGTATTACTGGAAACAAGAAATGGAAAATTGGAAGGCATTGTAAAATGCCTTCCGATGATGTCTAGAAGGCATATATACTACACTGTATAAGACTTACCCGGTGCAGCTCCAATGAGAGCAATATTGGTTTCTATAACGATGAGTTGTCCACGGTAGACACCAGAGTGAATTAAAACAAGCGGTCTCTCTGCATCATCACAGTATTCAAAGGCAGCCTGGATGGTTTCAAAGTAGGCGACAGATCGACCAGTTTCCTGTAAATTTTAAGTACAAGTGAGTTAAAATAATATTAAAAAATACACATTTATGTAACACAGTAAAAGAAACAAGACAAATACAGTAGGGTCCATTAAATAAATTATGCTACAGTAATACTTCACTGACTACTGTAACCAAGCGTTTTTATGACAATTATCTGTCTTGAACAACTATAAACTGTTGGCATTAACTGATGCTGTATAAAAGAAATGTTGATTCAAAGCAAATGGTTGAAAAGTATCAGAACACAGTGATTATATTAAGTAAAAACGAGTTTCAACCCATATGGTGTTATATTCATCATAAGATAATAAATTTTGTGGAAGCCAATAATATCCCTTTGTGAGCCTCCCACACATGTCCTGTCTACCCCGTTACAATTCAACCATGATGGAGGACAGTAATGCACCAACATAATGATAAGTTATGCGTAAACATTAGAAGTTATGTGTTAACAGGTGTCTGTAAACATACACAATATACTGCCTTGTAGACATTGTCGGGCAGGTAATATCTGTTTTCATGCTTTTAGTTTTTTGGTTTATTTCACATGCTTAGGTAATATTTCCAATTATACTTTGTAGATTTCTCAGACATTGTTTTTTGCACATGGCAAAGGTTAATAATGTACTGTGCTGTACTTGTAAACAACTGATAGAAACTGACCTTTGCTGCATATTTTTGATGTCCTTCTCTGACATGGACTCCATGGTATAACTGTTTAAAACTTTCTTTCCATGGATTATCGTAGTCACAGTCTTCAGGTTGCACAAAATCAAACTTGCATGGTGCAGGGTTAAATAGTGGAAGGTCATACTCATATAGACCCTGATAAAGGTTTTTCCTGCAGAAAAGAGAAAATATATGAACTTGTGTAGTGAATAAATTATGTGAAGTATGAAGATATTTATCACAAACAATAATATTTCAAGTTTTAAACATGATACAGTATTATCTCATGAATTCACACACAAGAATGGTCAAAATCTGTAATTCTCACTTACCAAAGCTCATTGTCATTGGCTATTGTGTAGAAGCGTTTACAGACTTGTGCTACATGACAGAGATCTCTCTCATATAGGTAAGAAAAAATAGTGAGTAGCACCTCATCAGGAAGTTCATACAGGAGGTAATGTGCTGCAGTGAAGGGGTTGCACCCCAAACCTGAAAAAAGGTACAGCAAGTGTTTGAATATTATTGTAGACTGTAAAAATGAAGAGTTATCCGAACAAATGAAACAACAACTAAAAACGGTTGGATGATTAAGATGATTAATGAGAAAGGGGCCAGCTAAAATGTATATATGAGGTACTTTTCAATGAATCTAGAAACAAAGGTATACAGTATACAATACTTATAACTATGTAATAAAAATAAGACAAGATTTGGCAAAGAGACAACAACATTTTCTCAACTCAAAGACAAAAACTTCTGTGTTTCCTGTAACTCTTGAGTGGTATACTGTCTCATCTTTAGTGTGGCAATAAATTTCACATCCATAAAAAATGCAAACAAATGTTTACACTACAATTAATAGTTTATTACAAGAGATTAACATGAAGGATGTCTACTCTCACACACTAAAATCTTGTAAAGGTACTATACCTTGTAATAAGCTACCTGTACAGTATATAAAAATAACATTAAGAATAAAACTTAAGGGTCACCTCAAAGTAACTAATTGTTAATTTTTCAGAAGATACTGCACAAGTTTTGCATACAATAATTAAAATTCTGACAACAACTGCTGGATTGTGGTGATTATAATGCACAGTATATTGATAAGTATAGGCAGTGAGGGCCAATGATTTCTCAGGCGTTAGAGTGTGTATGAAGTCAATCATATCCAGCCATCCCTACTTCTGTGGACTGGCCCTACAAGAGGGCGCAAGCTTTTACAAACTATCAGGTTTCTTCAAAATTTATTTTTCTTATATAAATATTAAAGGGGTGGCTACTTTTCTGGGGTAAAACAGAAAAATAATCTCAAAGATCTTAAGTTATCCTTGAATTACAAGTACTGCAGCGTATGCATACATTTCAGTGTGCTTATGTAAAATTCATTTGCTATTATCCCCTCCTTCACATACATCCAGGTCTCAAGTCGAAATGGTCGTAAGTCGGAAATGCTTAAATAATACATAGAAAATAAAAAATGGGGGTCTCTTTTTCTTCTCAGCACCACAAAACACTCAATTTTAAGCTTGCCAGCCATTTTAAAGTGAATTACAGATGAAAATTTTGTCTGTGTACTGACTTTGGGACTCGAAAATACGTAATTTGACCAAATTTTGGTACGACTGAGGCAGGTCGTAAGTACAGGAGGACGTAAGTCGAGTAGGTCGTAAGTCGGGGAGGAGCTGTGTATATCAACCAACTGTAGCGTCCTTACAAAATGGGGTTAATAAAGGAGAAACCCTAAGATTGATTGTACAAAATCTCAATCACGTAAAACACATAGACCAAAACTAATCCACATAAACTATTTACCCGTGGAAGAATCCCCTGTAAAGTATGTTCTCCGAGGGCGTTTGCGGGCGGGTAACATGGAAGGGCAATACGTAGTTGCAGCAGCAATAGCAGCAGTGGGTGAGAGCATAGGTGCAGAGTTTGTGGCAGCAGATGGAAGCCCAGCTGTTGCTGCAGAAACTCCCGCCGGTGAAGCTGTAGTGGGAGAGGCTGTCACTGACGCTGTTGCTGCCGCCGCCCCTATGGTGGATGGTGGGCTGACTGGATGTGTAGGGGATTTACGGCGTAAGTGATATGGAGGGTGATGGTGATGTGTGGAGGAGGTGCCGACAAGGGCAGAGGATGGGCCTGCTTCACCGGCAGCAGCTGCTCCTTCATCCCCTAACCCAAAGAGATCCAATACTGATCCAGGAATTATAGGGATTTCACATTCATCATCTGGAAAATATTATAAAAATAAATGAAACTAAATATTTCAGTCGTGTACAAGAATTTTTGGAACAAAACTTAAACTACTGTACTAGAAAATGGATTTATATAAAATAATGATAAAACAAAAGGTGTGTGAAACATAGATACTACTGTATTCCACAAAAGGACAATCTGGATTCTTTGACTTTACATTTATCATTCTTAATTTGGTACTGAATAAATTGTTTTGTCTTTTTAAGATAAAAATTAATTCCTCTACTGATTAATGAGATATAGAACAACTAGTAAATACTGTACACTGTAGAGTAAAACTTTACCATCTACAGACTCAGAATTGTGGTACAGTACAGTATTAATATACTGTACCGTAAAGATTCACTTATACTGTACAAGGTTTTTCCTGCCGTGCCTTGTTCATTTGTTTGTACAGTGGACCTTACACAATACAGTATGCAACAATCAGGAGGTCTAACACCCTTTAGGTTTTGTAAATACATTACAGGTAAGTACTGTACAGTATACTAGATTATGTTGCATTATCAGTGCAATCTTCAAAGACAACTTCCTTTACACCGTGTGCAATCAAATAGAATGCTGTGGTTAGATATTTAACTTTAAGATTAGCAACTGTGACATTTAACCCTTTCAATGGTGACAATGTAGACGTTTGATCCCCCATCATGAACGGAATACTTGTTATGATTGTTCCTCATTTGGAACAAGGAATCACAAGCCAGCACTGCATGGGACTTATGCACTAAGGTACATTTACACACAAATCATATCGTAAAAGTCCAATTAAATATAAATTTATTATCCTAGTCAAAAGAATCCACATAACAAGAAAGCCACTCAAACAATCTGCCGAGACCCATATGGGAGCACTATACCAGCAAATATTATTCAATCTTATCAGTTCCCTCCCAGGGTGCAAGACATGGGACCAATGTATTGGAATTATATTTCATGTGGTATGATAATCCCACTCAATGGGAACACACACATGGAGGATCATAACCCACATTATGGAAATACTGTAGGTCAAATTACCTATATGCTCACACTGAATGATCCAACATTGTACAGTATCAACTTATAAGATTTTCTAAAAATTTCCTTTTTAGGTTTTATACAGATATAGAAAAAAAAAGCCCTGTACCTACCATTCTCTCAAAATAAAGTTATTACACGCAGATCTGTTACATCCTGATTAGAACTCTCAGAGAGCTACTCCCCACCCATCTTAAAAATAGAATTCCTTTGTACCTGTATTTCAAAACACACTAGATAATTTCCCATTAACTCCATGCCTGACCACAGGTAGGGCAGGAATATAAACCTTTAAAAGACACTGTTTTTTTTTTACAGTGAAATCAGCTAATACCCCAACACAGGATAGATGTTGCTAGTTCCCAATCAGAAAGTCAATCATACTCACAGACTGTATTGTCAGCAAACTATGATCAACATACCATATATAAAATGAAATAAGTGATCTTCATCAACATATGAAAGAGTACTGTACTGTAATAATACTGAGGTCTACGTGGCATAAGCAATATACCTTAAATTATGATTAATTAATCAGAGACAAAGTTTTTATCCGCTTAATATACATAGTTCAGAGTGGGGCAAGCAATTTACTGTACCATGAGTTGTGGCCAAAAATTAATGGCAGGTAAAGCCTAGAAGGCCAGCATGGGTCACCCCCAAGGACATTCAGGGTGTGCAGTTGTTTATGCGACATCAAATGGTTGAGGGAAAATACCTTGCACCCAATAGCCTCTTTTTTAGGTCTGCTATAATATATAAGGCTTACTAATTGTTTAAATTAGTCATGAGCATGAACATAAAGGACTCCTGGGTCCTAAACTAATGGCTCAGTGCATACACATAAGTCACCTTGTAAAGACCAGCTGGCCAAAAAATTACTAGAAGAATGACTAAACTGGGTGAATGTTCCCCTGCTCCAGATGTATTAATAATTCAAGGCTACATGACCATATAGTCAACTATGCACATAGAAGAATCTAATTCTAATGAAACACAGGAAGCATTGGGTTGGGGCTTTAGGTTCTGTAGTACAGTGGTGCATATCAACCTCATCTATATTAGCTTTACAAGAACTTAACTAGCACATACTACATACTCTACTTTTTATTCCCAATTTCCATCTACTGTATTATACACATAACCTATGCAATACATTGTACTGTCCACACTTTCATGTTTCGTGCATGTAATGTCTCCGGCAAAAACATGCCATGTGCCAGAATACATGTATACACTTAAGCGCTTGTTGTAAGGAGATGATTTTTGTACAGTACCTGTACAGTACTGTACTGGCAGCTATGAACTTAATTTTTTGTTTTGCCATTAATAATAGCTTCCCAAAGGCATCCTTCAAGCTCCTTTATAAGTAAAGAAGCCTATAAAAACTTCACACTAGTAACTAAGTTGGAAATAAAAAGAAACCTTAAAAATGATGAAAAACATACCAGAACACAACTTAACTTCCTTGTTTTACCCTTAATAATGGCTCCCTAAGGCATCCTACAAGTTATGAAGCTTAAGATGACATTAACACTAAAAACTAAGTTGGAGATATTGAGAAGATTTGAAAAAGATGAAATATTTACAACACCTGGCAGGAAATACCAAGTGAACGAGTGCAACAGACTAACATAATATCCAGTACGTATACCCTATGGTCAAATATAACCCACAGGCAATGTCTGTGGGTTATCTTCACTGTAAATGAAATATAACTAGTACAGTACCGGTACAATGTCCAATATATATTATTCTTTTCATTTAGAATTGCTATTTATTCTATATAACCAACAAAATAAGGTACCGGTTGTATCAAAAAGAAAACAACAGTACTGTATAACTGTAGATGCACCATGTAACTGAACACTTTGGCATCCTCATTAACCAGCTGTCATGCCAGAACATTGTTAAAAAAATTCCCTCAAGTGTTTTGTTCAATATATTTTCACAATTTCTTGCACTGCAGTTAGTATACAAACATTCAGTAGTTTGAATGCAGTATTTATATCACATTCTTGATTACAAATAAAGAGTAAACACTCAAAAAACATACTCTTGCTTACTATAGAAATCAGTCTTTTATTTTTATACTGGCCCAACTCCTGCCATAAACAAGACCAACCTGTACAGAGTATATTTTCTTTAAAGTAAAGTACAGTACTGGTACCTTAGGACAGTTAGATTAGATTCCTTTATTACTGCATTGTATAATACAAATCATATCAAATTTTTAACAGTACTGCATAGTATAAAAAACATTTAATTCAAGCATCTTTGTGAAAAGACTTAAGCTATTCTGTTCAATATTACAAATGGTTAGCCACAGTTTCTTTTAAGAACTTTTCAAATTTAGGATCCTGATCAAATATATGTGAGCTATCTCAAGAGACATCCTTCCACCAAGCCAGTCACACGGGTTTAAGCCCTCTTGCGAACTGTTCTGCCATCTAAATGGTCAGGTTAGGATTCCACTGATTTCATTGATAAAAAAACAATAAAAAATGAAAAGATTGAGTAACTGACCACTGTATCTGAAAACTTTCTTTATCATAGATAGCACATCGGGCTTCATAAGTTAGAGATATGCGAGACGCTTATCTTGGGATTTCACTGATTTTTAATTCCAAGCTATGGTGGCATTGGGATAGTTTTATCCCAAGTATTTCAACCAATGATCCATTAATATGTGCAAAATACAGCTTTGTCCTGTTATCCTAGTCCCTTTCTTCCTCCATCCTGTATTTATGATATCCATTTTCCAAATCCTTTGTCACCTGCTGTTCAAATGGTTAGTGTGTCATAGGTCAGCTCGCACCTACCCTCATCACTCCTCTCCTTTCATCTAAAAGAATCTCCAACAAGGTATTAGCAGATACTGTAGTATGAGCCCATATTTTAATTTGTATTTTGTTTAATCGAGTGAAAAGGACCCCTTTGTTGCACCCTGTACATGATAGACAAATCTCAAGACTACAAAACTTTTTTTATACTGAGAATGATAATGTACTTAGAAATAAAGGAACACAGGGAAAATATCGAATTACCCTACAAAGAGCCTATTAAAAATATAACTAAGTTGGTCTTGGAAAGTAAAACTTTTGGTACACATCTCCTGAGTTTGAACACATGGAGGCTCTAGCACTGAGCATAACCTGAATGACTATGTTCCCTCTCAAATCCATAATGGAGCAATTCCAGGAATGACCAAATTTAATGTGTATAAAAAGTACATATCAACACCAAGAGCTTAATACGTGGCTTATATTATTTAGATTTACATGTTAGGTAAAGTGTAAGTTATCCTCATGCTATTTAAAGGAGGTCCTCAAATTTGCATCTGTAGTGCTAGTCTCTGGATGTTCTTAAATGTTTATTACACCCAGTAAAGATCTCCCCCTCCTAAAATAAGATAGGAGCATCAGCTAAAAACAACTACAAATGATTCAGTACATAAATAAAGAACAAATATCTCGTACAATTACAAAGGAAAGAATCCATAGTCAATCATATTGTTCATCAATGTACCTCAATTAGTTCGTTTTTAACTGTCAAATATCCAGTGATAGCATTAAAATATGATTTTAACGGCATAATTAAAAATGACAATTCTCTAGCACTGCAACGTTCATTCTTTTTTAATAAACGTGACACATATCTTCTAAACTCACATATTGGCATCGGGTAACCTAACTGGTTCATGTTGCACAAGTAAAAAATCAATGTATGGTTCAATAAAATCACTAAAACTCAGTTATACAGGAAATTACATGTATTAAAAGTATTCAGCCTTTATTAAAGACATTTTATTTGGCTCTAAGACAACATTTCATGTACAATAAAAGCTTATGATTGCTCAACCCGAGTTCAATAACAACGAAAACAAATGGTCATCGCAAGACCAACTCACCATTATTTCGTTGATTTAACGGGTTTCCTCTTCTCACTATTTTCTTTTTAGTAATTTTTCTTTTTCTTAATTGTGATATGCGTGTTCTAAATGTAGGGTTCGACATTTTATGTGTAATATAGTGTCAAAATTTTACAAACTTGAGACAAAGATCATGCCTCCCCTCACTGCACTCTATCAGCCACTGAGCCAGCCATTTTGTTCCGCGGATATTATTGTTCCAGGCGGAAGCGAACCTCACCAATCAGCGCCCAGCATTTGGTCACGTGTCCCGTGTAGGAGAGCCAGAACGCGTACCATATGATTTCAAATACAGGTTTTGGATGCAATTCATTATCGGAATTTGAGAAAATACGTGTTAAATGGTTAAAAATAAATAATCGTGAATTATCTCAGTAAGTCACTGCATATTCTAGAATACTGTATTGTTTATGAACATGAATGTATTGTTGGAACATAACCTTGATTACAGATATCAGATAATTTGCATTTCTCCAAACATTATGATTCAACTTTCCGACATATTTTAATGATCATACGCAGATAATTGTAAACAATTTTCATAATTAAGTTGCATAAATAATTCTTCATATGTAGAGTGTCACAATAAATGACAAATATTGATCAATTTTGACTCATAGAAAACGTCTCCTGTAGACATGTAAACAAAGGAGTGATTCGCTGTCGTTGCCTCGAGTGTCTTCTATGAAGGAAAAATAAAATAATTTTCAGTGTCTGCTGGTCCTTTCAAAATTTGAATAAAAATTATAACTCTTTCAAGAAAAAAAATTGGAAGTTTCTTACACAGGAACATTGGTCTTATTTTTCTTACTAAACATCATAATATGGATGTAGATTGTAGTGGTCTTCATGTTTACTGTCGGGAGGAGTGAGAGGAGGTGGGCGGGGCGGCGATCAGCTGATGACAAGCTAATGGGCACTAGAGACGTGGGTTTGGTAGCCCGTTGAGGATTAATTTTATGCATTGTTGAGGCCTTTGCAATTAATATTCTTATATACAAGCTAAATTCATCCGGGTGACATTATAAATAAAGGACATATTCAAGTGAGTGATGTAAACTACGGAGACAACAGCAATCCAGAATGTGCATTCCTATACATTACTGCTGTGAGCTGGACGTAACGGTAGTAGTGAAAATAAGCGTCCAATAGTTTATTGGCATTTACAGTACAGTAATTAAACTGAATATGTGAGAGTTTTTACTGTAGGTTCTGGCTACCATGCAGCAAGACCACTTCTTAAGATAATAATCTTTTTTTGGTGGGTAACTTTAGGGAATTGTCTTGTTTATAAACAATGAGATAACCGTGTACACATTCTATCAAACCAAATTTAATAACAGAAATGTGGAAAACTTATTGTCATTATTCGCAATTATATTATATACTGTATAATTAAAATTATTTTTATTTTTATTGCATTCAGATTTAAAAAAAAATAACAATAGTTCCATGTGATCTCCAATCATCGATAATTGTTATGGGCGGAGACTTGAGAAATTTGCGGATTTATTTCCGCAAACTGTCAAGTTTCTGGCAAGAGAAGGTTACTGAAAAAAAATCTGAGAATGGTTGCTCATACGAGGTTATTGACCATTAAGATTTAAAGGCTTCCCCATATAAACATTTGCAAATTTCTTGAATAAACCACCATTAATAAGAAACTTAAAACTGATTTTTTAAAAATCGGAGCAATGATTGTTTGACTTACTTAATTCTATGAATATAAGATTACATTTTAGGTGTAAGAGGATGAATGAAAAACTTTTCACTGGGAATCCTGTGAAAGCAAATTTTGTGCAGAATGATATTCTGCTTAATAAAAGGAAAATAGTCTGATATATTGTCAGACTTTAAGTTAGGCATTTATATTTTGAGATGGGGAGAACCATATCACAGTTTTCCTTGGGGGTGAAAGTGATATTTGGGTGATTAGAATTTACGAGTATATTATTAAGGAAGTAGGAATCTCACGAAGATTAGGAATCCCCTGCTTATTTCACTTGATAAAACACCCTAATGCTTGCCTAATTAAAACAAACCAAATGGGGTACTAGAAATTAGTTCAAGCATGTTAAAAATAAAGTTAAATAGTGTGTGTGTGTGTGTGTGTGCGATTTATGTTTTGCGAAAATTTGTAACTGTACACGAAAATGATCTTCGAGATATAAAAAAAATCATAGCAAGAAAATCAGCAGTATATGGTGCTATAGAAACAAATTTCTCCTTAAAATCCATGAGTATGTTTATGCGATCTATTTGCTGTGATGCACGTTAATGCTCTGACGACGCTTTTAACATCCAGGAGCTAGATTCTAGCTGCTGAATGTTAATAAACTAAAAGACTGCATCTCCCCTGGCATGCAGAATGCTCGTCCAGTCTTTGACGTCAGTGGTTTACCAGAGTGTTTATAATTTGTTGATAAATAGTATTTATCATTGTACCGGTACAATGTCCAATATATATTATCCTTTTCATTTAGATTTGCTATTTATTCTATGTAACCAACAAAATACTGTTTTCTGTGCAAAAAGGCCAAGTGTAGATAAGACACTTGCTACACTACGATGGCCAAAAATGACCAAACAACCACTGCAACCGGCAAACTGTACATATTAATTCAGGGCTTGGGAATAAGGAAAACGACCCAGAAGACAGGAAAAGGCATGTTATCAGAGATGCGTAACATACCAGTACTCATAATTTACCAATAATTCATGCTCATATTATGTCCTGGAACGTATGAAAATACAATCTGTGTTTTGTACCTTAAAAATGGTAAACGCCAGAATAGTCATGGGTGCTGCGCGTTTTTTAATTTTTCTTGCGCAAAATTTTTGCCTGTTTTCTTTTCATCCACTATGAATGGCATGAATTACGTGAGAAAAATTATAAAAAAAAAGTTGCAAAGATCATTAAATTAGTTGAATCTGAAAACTTCGAAGGTGAAGCAGCCACCTGGTTTGAAATTTGATCTCAAAAGAAAAACCAAGGTGTTGAGGATTTGCTCAAACACACTGATCTACTGTTTTCCTTCAATTAAAGAAGCAAATATTATTGCACTGACATTACCCGTGATAACATGCACAGTGGAGAGATCTTTCAGCACAATAAGAATAAAAACCTTGTCAAGTTCAACGATGGCAGAACTTTTACTTACTTTTATCCACTTCACCACTGATCGGATCGTTAGCCGCTTGGGCACTGTTGGCGAATACTGGGCATGCACTGGCTCCTGAATGTATTTGAACCTGTTCCAGTGTTGGTCAAGTTTGGCCTTCAATGAGCTCAAGCTAGGTGCCGTCACAACGCTCTCTGGCAGATTGTTCCAAGAGTTCACAATTCTCACTCCGAAAAAATGCCCTTACAGTTTTCTGGACTCGTGGCTTCTTCAACCTTAAGCTGTGACCCCCTGTGGGGCGGACGTCGGCCAGCTCAGGTATGTACATTCGACCAAGTAATGCTTCCTGAGATGTTTATACAAAATTAGGTCGCCCCTCGCCCGTCTGTAGTGTAAGCCAGGTAGTTGCAGACGCTCCCATCTCTCTGGGTAACTGAGGTGCCGTAGAGCAGGCACCAGTCGGGTGGTCCTCTGGACATTTTCAACCAATTGACAGACTCTAGTATACATTGCGGTTCCAGACGGGGAAGCACTTCACTCCTGAAGATCGTGACGAGCGACTGACCATCCAGATATCTAAACGAAACTAGTAGACCTGATTCACCATATAACGAAGAGGAGAACCGGGGAAAACACAAACATCTTGACTAAGTTGGGTTTCTTTAATCACTAACGTTTCGGAAAATCATTTCCATCATCAGAGTCTAGAAAACAAAACGTTTTAAAAAGTAAAAAAAAATGCAGGTGATATACAATAAAAACGTAACATTATACCAAAATTTACCTTCCGCAAAAAAAAAAGAAAAAAAGAAAAGAAAAGCGCATTATAATTTAAAACCGATAAAAATGGCGAGACCTACGTACAAAACTCAAATCAGAAAAAAAAATATACAAGGGGGTATTACCTTAATTTAGACGAGCTAATGTGAAAAACACAACAATTCACAGTAAGCCATAACACATATGGATGACTTTACTTTATACTGATGCAGGCTTCCATAATGAGGAGGTTCGTCTCACAGTTGATCCTGCCATTAACAGAGAAATTAGACGGCGAATTTGCGAAAACGGGCGGTCATATTGGTGGGCGTGGTTAGGATAGCTGAATGTGGTGGTTGTGAGAGTGTGATTAATTGGCCTGTTCGGACAGAACGGCCTAAGTGCTCATGGATGCGAGTTATCAAATGTCTTTTTGTTTTACCTATACTGTATAAGCTGACGTACAGCAAGCACACGTAAATTGATAAACAACTGAGGATTGCACGTGTGTGGGTATGGTGTCTTTAATTTTAAAGATTTTTTAATTGAACTCTGGGTTTTGAAGACTAGTTACATGCATTTTTCATAGACCAAGTGAGTCACACACGAGTCACCACACAAGTCTATAGGTGACTGGCACCCGAACTGAAGACTGAGACTGAAGTAGGGTCCGACGAAGTGTCTATCTCGCCAGCGGCCCAGTTCAGCTGATCAGCTGCTTCGTACTCGCAAGCGAGATGTCACGGGTTCGATTCCCGGGCCAGTGGAAGTTGTTTGGACTTACTTCCTAGCCCCCATTAGTCCCTGTTCACCTAGCAGTAAAGTAGGTACCTGTTGTAAGTCGAAAGTTGCGAATTCGTATTCAGGAAGTTGTTGGAGCTTCCAATAACTTGATGACATAAACCACTGACTCTTCAGGTTTCTACGCCCTTGACTCATGAGACAAAGGTAAGCATGAACTTAGCATGCTTCCCCGTTGGGCGCTGTAAACGCTTCTGCGCTTCACCTTTCACAAGGATGTAGGGGAGTGCCCAATAATAAAAAAAAAAAAAAAAAAAAGCTGCTTCTTAGAAGTTGCAAACGTCTCTCACGCGCCCACCACAATTTTAAAAGGACAAGGAGTTACTGAACAGACTGAATATCATACCTGTTTATCTTACATTCGTCATTTATTAATGTCAAATAATAAACGATGTTCTACATTGGTTATGTTCTAAAACTTAAACGAATAAATGTCTGATTACCCTAGAATCCTAGATCCTATATTTATACCCCCAAAAAAATTCAATTACCCTAAAAAAAACACCACCCTAAACTCTACCCCAGAAAAGGCCTGATTACCATATATTATCGTAATTACCCTAAAAGTGGAAGCCCTGACAAGATCCAAAATTTCTGGCGATAATTGGCTGGCCACCCTCCGATCAGTGGGCCACCGCGCTGCGTCAGTACACTTAAGGAAGTTTGCGAGGTTTGTGTGTTATTGTGCTGCTATTATTTCGTCAGGTTCAATTTAATGTAAGTAATACTACGTTCCTTATTTGTGTTTCTGCTTTAGTAGAGATATATTTGAATGTGGGGAGAGCAAAGTTTATAAACAATTATGAATAACAAGAAACGCCATCCATTCAATGTTTCTACTTTCAACAGAACTTTTCAGCTGTTGTGTTTATCCTCATAACGACTATCATATAGAAAATGCTAGCCCTTCATATTTGCTGATGAGACATATATCACTATTGTCTGACAGACTTGCAAGTTGCAACCAGGATCAGGGGTCGGTGGGGCAAGGAAGGAACAGAGGAGGCTGATCACCTTTGAGATAAAATCTGAGGAACTAACAATAGCGAAGCATTATTTAGCCTGCACAAAGGGTGCTGGTAATGCCATTCAGGACATGATAAGTGTATACAGATTATTAGATCCTGATATGTTTCCACCACTTAAAGCAATAATACAAGTTGCCATGACAGCGCCAGTCAGCAGCTGCAATTGCGAGAGCTTAAAGTGCACTGATGCGCCTGCACACCTGGCTACGACGAACAATTGGGAAAAGGAGACTGTATCACCTGGCTATCTTATTTATTGAAAAGGAAATGCTAAAGAATGTCAGGCACAACTCAAGAACAGGCGTTATGACTTAATGGAGCATTAATTCATAACGCCTGTCCTTGAGTTGTGCAAATGTGTTTATGATTTCATTGTGCTTGACATTCTCTAGCATTTTCAAGAATTTCCTTAAAGGAATTCTTAACCAGAGTGGGAGTCCTGTACGGCACTTTCTAAGTGTCCTGCGAAGAGTAATTTTGCAATTGATGAGCAATTATGTATGGGCGAGGCGCTACTCACTAACTGATTTTAAACACAGGTCAAGACACTCTATTCTACACGTTATTGAAAAAAAAAGTATAAATTAATGGTAATTTTCAGTTGAAACATGTCAGGATCAGTGTAATCTTTTATGAATAAAATAATTAATACATATATATGTACGCGTTTATTTATGTTAATACAAAAGAAACAACTGTTTATTAGATACAATAATATTAATGGAATGGAAAATTATGAATATATTTGGTTTTAAAGTGAACGAAGTTGTGAATAAAAATACGTAATTGACAACTCACTGCACAGTCAGCTGTTGTTTATTTACAGTCGAGCAAGATACAAAATACTAATGTTGGAAAGTACCACGAATAATACCAGTATTATCATTTATTTGTTCTAGCTTAGAATAGACAACTCGATAGTAATCATGCCATCCTCTGAAGTTTTGCTAAACGCAGAAGTCTTGCTACTAAAGAATAAAAATAAAATAAATACAGTACTTTTACGGTCATATTTGAGGTATTATTCTAACATAATTTTGCAGGATGAAACTTGTGCCTTAGGAGTGTAAGGTGTGAGTCGCACTTTAATCTTAAATTACTTTAAGTAATATGTATTAAGATATATATATATATATATATATATATATATATATATATATATATATATATATATATATATATATATATATATATATATTAACTGCCCCATTGAATAATAATTTGATGAAGAAAAAAAAATCGCACAAAACCAACCGTATCTAACCTAATCAGGGGGTCCCCTCATTAGGTTACGTTAGATAGAATGGAGCACTACATTAAAAAAACAGATATTAAGAGACAAGTAATGGTTAAAATATCAGTGTTATTTCCTGAACTCCAGAATCAACAAAACTATCCCTAGTGGGACTACAATTTTCTAATTTTACCCTCTGGCTTTTTTTTTTTTTTGAGAAACTAGAATTGATCAGAAAGCGAGGTGGTGATGGTAAAATTATCATTTCGGTCATGCACCTATTTGGAAGTAGGTCAGAATCGTTCAAAACACATATAAAACCACCAGAAAACATAAATTCAACCTAACCTAACCTAACCTAAACTTAAAATCCTAAAATTTGCTGGGTTAGGGTAGGTTGAAATTATGCCTTTCACATGTTTTTGGATGTGTTTCGAACGAGTCTGACCTACTTCCAAATAGGTACATGACCCAAACGACAATGATACCGTGGTGACACTTTACAATAGCGGTCCTAATTAACCAGCTACTAAACGAAAAACTTATACTGTAGAGAAAATTTTTTTTTTTAATTTACTAATAACCCAAATCAGGTGTAGGACTAGTACTTTTAGTATTTTGGAGGCTCTCATTCCTTTTGTCAGGTTCAATCTTGGCTTAATATTCAGATGTGATTATGCATGTAACTTTATAGTGATTTTTATACAGAGATAGAGCAAAAAATACAGCATTTCCATTGGAAATTTGTACAAGTTTGAGGGGATATACATTGTTTTTTTTTCACTTAGCCAACAAGCATTAGTGTCAATGTCAGGTGATAGTCGCGCACATGCCCTTACTCTTGTTTTCTTTGGAAATTTTAAGTTTTTTGTTTTACTCCTTGATTTCAGGTTTGGTTCTTTAGGTTCCTTTGTTTTTTCTTTGGGCTTGTTGGGTTGAGTTAGGTTTACACACTGGGAGGTCCAATAGGAGGTTAGGTTAGACAAGTATACAAATGCTATACTGTATATCGATATTTGCTAGTTTGTTAGGTTAACTTTTTGACGATCTTTTTGTTTGGCAATTTTTTTTTACTTTACCACAAGTGGGATGTTCTTGATAAACCAAAGAACTTTTCTTCTATTGAATAGTTTCCTAACTTAGCTGCTTAACCTGGTCACATGTTCTTAAATATAAACCCTTTTAAAGTGTTCTGTAATAGTTAGGTTAGCTATGGTTTCACCAGTTTTTGCTCCATAAATTCCCCCAACTTCAAATCTCAGCTCACTTTGTGAGAGGAAAATTGCATTTTTAAGTGAAATAAACAACAACAACAAAAAATTGACAAAAATGGAAGAGTAAATTATTCATATACAGTACACTCTATATTTATTTTTTGCTTTAACTCCAAATTTACTGTACAAATCAACAACGTTTCATGCATGGTCATTGCCGAATATTTACCCAATCTGATTGTAAGGGGTAGATAATAATAATAATCAGATACAAGTCTACCATCATAACTGCTATTTCAAGGATCTAACCTACTTCCTACAGGGACACCACTTTTAATATTGCATTTGGCTTATGGCAGACGATTTTATTTATCCTATTGGCATCACCGTACACAAGGGGTTAACCATCAGATTTACATAATGGAAATAACAACAGTTCAGTCTTCTCTAGGAAATGGGACTTTAGGATCAATCCTTAATTTATTGAATTTAATTATTTATCAAATAAATAGTACTGTCATTGCTTTTTTTAATATTGGTTATTCAAGTTTTACAGGAATGCATAATGTTAACTGAAATAGAGATACCAACTATGTCTATTTTGTTTTTAATATTGTACTATATGCTGTACAGTAATTATATACAGTATACCATATACTGTATTGTATATGTAATTAATTATTAATTCTTTACTCTCTTATTTGTTAAAGTAATAGCTATTAAATATGGTGGAGTTGGAAGAGACGTGGACAGAGAAGAGTTTCTATGAAAAACCATTGACTGTGTGGCTTGGAGAGGAAGGGGGTGATGAGAGAAACTCACCTCCACTAGACATCTTCACAGCTGCTAGTATTGGCTGTTATCAGCGAGTGAGGGATATCATCATGGAGTTAGTACTGTATAATTTTAAATTATTATTGGTTTTATGTGGTACTGTATTAGATCTTTTAAGTGTCATTTAGGTAACAATTGTCAAGAGTGACCAGGCCTCAGTACCAACTTTAATCAATTTCTCTGTAGATGAAAAAGTTATCTCGTCGTAAAAAAATGACAAAAAGTGCACTTGGAGTGCGTTTTGCATAATATAATTGTTCACATCATATTTAGGCTAGAACTGGTTCCTTTCACAATAAAAAAAATTATTTTATGTTAGAAGAATGAAATAGAAATAACTTATACTGTACAGTACCTTAGGTTAGATAGGTTGATTTTGTCTTATTAAAAATAAATTATAGAATGTAGTTGCACAATATCTGAAATAAAATACACCTGTACAGTAAATAAAGGCAATCAACAGTTGATCCCAAAGATAGAAAACATGAAAATTTTTAAAGTGAAATTATATAAAACATTCCTTCTGCATTTATTGTCAGTTTCTCGAGGTAAGAAAGCTTTCATCTTCTATGGAGAGCTTTCCTTGGGTTGATGTTAAAGCAAGACTACTCTCGTGAAACATTATCACCATTAATTATACTATACTGTACTCTGCAACATTTCGAAGGCTTTGTTTTTTCTAAATATGTTTTTTCATGGAATAAATTATCTTTTAGAATTGAATTATTGTACCACACTGATAGTTAGGATCACACTACAGTGCTCCCATAATAATGATGTAAAGTACTGTGCAGAATAAATAAATAAATGATTATTGTAAGGTCAAAATCATGCAGAGAATAAACATTTCTAAAGTACACGGGAGTTAGTGCTCTGATCGTGGGAGGGGAGGGAGGTGTGGTGTTGGGGATCTCAGCCTACCAAGCCAAGCTGTGACCTGCGTTTTTGTTATTTTTCAACTAGTATTTTCAGATAGATATAGGTAATGTTTTTATTATTATTATTATTATTATTATTATTATTATTATTATTATTATTATTATTATTATTATTATTATTATTATTATTATTATTATTATTATGCTCTGTTACATGCACACACAATCATTCATACATATTGTGAAAAAATAAAAGAAATGATTTTCATAAAGTAAAAAACATAGAGAATATACATTTCTTATGTCCATGGGAGTTAGCCCACAAACGTGGGAGTGGGAAGGGGGAGCGCGCTCCTATCTCCTTACGGATGAATGCATTAGACCACGGAGGGATTCACTGCAGCAGTTGGTGCAATGGTACTGTGCACAAAGTAAAGACCGTGGATACCTGGAATCCGCGGTTGGCGAGGGTCTACTGTACACTGTGCATTAAAATGAAGTTCATGTGCATAGATAGAAGTATGTAGTACAGTAACTGCACTGTTTGTATTCTTCAATTATCAAAGTTTCAGAATATATTAGCCTTTAAAGGCAAATCATTCAATTAAAATGAAATTTTACTGTACACAGTTTCTACTTTTATTACATAAAAAGTAGCACAGCTTATCTATATTTTTCTGCAATTTTACAAAATTGGTACACTATTGTACTCATTTTATAAAAGTCTTTCATTGACAATGAACTTTTACATCTTTTTGTAGTACAGGTGTACAGTACTGTAGTCCAGATTATTGATACAAAGTAATTAGTGTACTGTATGTTGTTTACAGTGACAAGAATGTCTGTAGCCATAAGAACCATGGTGGATGGACAGCTCTTATGTATGCAGCATATTATGCCCACTCTGATGTGATCAATCTGCTGCTGGAGGCTGGTGCACCTGTACACCTCCGCAATAATAATGGCTGCAATGCTCTCATGTTGGCAGTAATGTGTGGGAATGATTATGGTGTGGAGATTCTTATAAAGGTTAGTTGGTTTACAAAGTGGGGATGGGGTGAGACACTATGGTATTGTCCTGACGAAGGTTAAATGTTATATTGTTTGCCGTAATTGTAATTTATTTATTAAGTTTATGTGGGAAGAAAGTAGAGTATTCACAACATACAATTCATCAACATCATCATCAGTAGTATTTTATTAATACAGGTAATTATCATTGATATTGAGTCAGTTTCACCAAGGACAGCTGACAAAGCCACAAGAGGCTTGTTTCCTTATGCCAGCAGCATCTGGTGTGAGTAGGGGCAAGAAGTATAAGAATTGTGCAAATGCAATGACTACTACATATAGCAATATTATCAGTGAAAGATTTTGGACTGAAAATTATTCCTGTATATATTGGCAATGCTTAGTGAGTGAGTGTGTGTGTGTGCTAACCTAACACACACAACCTGTTACTGCATAGATAACACCACAGGCTGTCATCATTATATTATCAGTTTTGTAACAGGATATGAGATAATGTTTGGTTTTAAACTTACAGTCCATTAATTTAATTATGTTGTGATTATGTAAGTCAGGTAGTGCAGACAGGAAACACAGAAAGGACTAGAATTTTTTTTAGAATGTCTTTCTCCAAAATGGATGTTATTTTAGTGATTAAGTGAAAAAACGTAAATACTTGTATAAAATATTTTCAAATGCCACGGTGTGAGTTATTACAAAAGTAAATATTTTAGCACGAGCTCAAGCAAATCTGAAAAGAAAATTTTTTGAGTTCCTCAACAAGACAGGGAAAAAGCCATTCCATATGTCAGTATTTCACAAGGCCAGAGAATGCCCTGTAGTGAGTATGTACTGTAAATGAAAACAAATACATAATTATTATTATCAGCACCTGGTTGAATCATGAGAAAATGTAAATGTCAGGTTACAGGCAGGATATGGAGACTATAGGGATATCAAAGTTTCAGTAATCAGGAGGAATGCTGGGATATGTGCAACAAGTATTTGCATAATTGCAACCTACAAGTTGCTGGTTAAGTTTGTGTGATGATCTCTAACAATGCCAGTGCCAAAGTCATTGTTCAAAAGGTTCCCTAACTTTCATCCACCAAATTAAAGGAACCAGTATTAAAAGAACTGTAGGTAAATCAATGTTGTTGCATGAAATCATCTGTTTCTTTTAGGTATGGGAACCGACAAAGCCCATAAACTGTATAACTTTCAATAATAACAATAGTAAGTGTGCAGATTTGCTTCTACCCATTGCAGTGGGAATAATCATCATCATCAACGTTTTGCGGCCATTTTCCATGATTGTATGGGTTAGCTGCAATCACCTGAAGGCAACTACAGTACTGTACTGGGTAAAACCAAAACAGGATAGTCCCCCCTCCACCCACCACCACATTCCCAGGGTGCCAGCCAAGAAAATGCAATACAGTAGAGATCATGGGATGGACATAGCTCTAGTAACCCGGTTGTCATCATGCATGTTGAAGTTTTATGGCTCGATGCCCTTCTCAACTCCAAACCACAAGGTTGGAACAGCTGGCAAGGCAGGGTCACAACTCTCATGTAATAAAAGACTACCTGCCTATATACTGACACAATATCATGTTTCAACTAATTATATAACAATGGTAGGTGCATGAAATTAAGATGGCAGACATTTGTTTCAATATGTAGCACCCATCTTAAAATAATATGCTGCACTTTGAAATAGGAATGTTTGACAATTGTCAGTACAGCACAGTACTCTTCAGGGGTGCCGAGGTGAAATGGATATGGATTTTTCCTGCCATTCATTATTTTATAGCTGGTGTGAACAAACAATGGAATAGGTCCAAATATGTAGGTTATGCTCAGTAGTACACCCAAGCAGCTGTCCATTGGGATCCTGGTATGAAATTGAGTGATATTCCAATTTTCAAATGTATTAGATTTATAGATCTTAGTTGCACATGTCAGGGCCCCGATGCCTGAGGTTTTGACTCGTAGATTTACTGGACTGCTTAGAGCTACTCATGACTGATTTGAGTTTAAAATGTGGTTATGGGATTAACTCTCCAAATGCAAATAGAAAAAATGAGTGTTTAGAGGAAACCTGTGGTGGAAAAATAAATCTACAAGTGTATATTATAGACATATTACAGGTATTTAAATACTGTACTGTAGTAAGATTTAATGTTGTACTGTCGCAAGTGTTTTATCTATTCTCTTCTTCACTGATTTGATGTTTACTGTACAAAAAAGTAATTATGCAATTTTATCGTGTTTAAAATTAGCACTTTGAGAGTATACTGTACAGTAGTGACAGCCTTTTACCTACAGGGAGGCAGCATCCTAGAAACTCGAGATAAACGTGACTGGACGGCGCTCTTCCATGCTGTTAACACTAGTCATCATAGTGTTGTGGAAATGTTGATTAAATATAAAGTTAATCTCAATTCATGGTAAGTGCTCGTTTGAATATCATAAATACGAATAAAATAATTATGTAAGTTGAATCGTGTCTTAAATTAATCAGGGTTTTAAATATGAATCATCGTAATTCGAGGTTTTCCTGTACGTGCAGTGAGCGAGCAACAGGTATGACACCCCTGATGTATGCTGCACAGCTGGGTGATACAACGATGGTGATGGCATTGTTACGAGGGGGAGCAGTTGTCTCTCTCACAAACCATCAAGGACACACAGCAGATAGGATTGCTCAAGATGCCAAATATCCTGACACTGCTTCAGCTATTATTCAGTGGGGTCTTCAAGGTACTTCATTTGTAAATTGCAGGAGAGATTTGTTACTCCATTCACTGTACAGGCATCCCTCATTATCCGGATGGATTAGGTTCCTTGAGAGCCATTCGATTGTCAAATGTTCAGATACCTGTAGTGAATAATGTAATAGATGGGAAAAATAGGGTTTAGTTTCTGATTAACAAAAAACCCAATATATTTTTTTATATTTGGCAGAGAAGCTTGATGTGTTTTGATTTATGCTTGTGCTTTACATAATTACCAAAACATAATTTAAGGTAGTACTGTATTGTATTACTGTATAGAATATCTAAAAAAAAAAGATAAACAAAATAGAATACGTACTGTACATATATAGCTGCATTGTGTACAGTATTGTAAATTACCTTACATTGCACATGAAGCTTGGTTTCAATTATCACAGGTTTGCAGGGTCTCTTGGTGATGGTGGGGGTAGCAGAGGAATCATTACTGTGCTTGGATGCCATTGCGTACAGATTAATGAAAGGATGGCACGTATGTAGATGGAAAAAGATAAAACACTTATTTGTACCAAACACAGCAAATGGAATGTGAAAGGACATGGGAGGGAGGGAGGATGACATCATGCACCTTGAGTGCGAGTATATTCCTGTGCATTTGAGGAGGAAAATGGCTGCCTTGTCCATGCCTGGTGTGGATTGAATTTTCGATCTGACCAACATTCGGATAAGCAAATCATGGGTTGGTTGATTTAAATCACTGATTTAAATAAAAAGAATAACAAAAAAATTATTGATTTAAATCAGTATATGAGGAAAATTAAAAAAAGGAATAAAACTGCTACAGTAACTAATCACTGCAGTATAGGTAACACATAAAGAAAGATAAACTTTGCTGCTAATTTTTCATTAAACAGGTTTATAGAATTTACTTATATGTATTGTAACTATATAGATATATATTCATACTTACCAGCTACTGTATATCCCATTTTATGAGTTAGCATCACAAAAAGGGAAATTAAAATATCTGTAAAGGAATAGAGTACACCCTAAGACACAATTTGCACCCCCCATCCTGAAATGCTTCCAGTGCCATGGAGTGTAAAAAATTAATATTCAGATAGTGAGGGATACTTGTATCTAAAATATTTCATCAAGCCATGTCAATTTTGTTATTACTGTCCACTCTGTATCTGTATTTTGTTCTGGCTAGATAACTGTTACAATATCAATGTACAGCACAGTATTTAATGTCTGAGGAGAGAGTTGTTGGCCGTTCTTGTAGTCATGTGAAGACTTGAATCTTCCATAAGGTTAGTGTATTTGTATCAAACTGTAATTCAAAGAACTGCACATATTTGTTTTCAATTAGTAGTTAAGAAAAATTGAATAAAAAATGCAATGTGTTGTTCTTAAACAGCTCACAATCTTATGGGTTTCAGGTTTAAATGGTCCAAGTTTACGAGATGGTCCAGCTGCAGTAGAAGCAAGGAGAACACATCAACAGCCCCAAACACTCAGAGGCAGAGGAAGTGCCATTCCATCAGTTAATGATGGTTTGTTTGGAAACCAGTACAGTATTTTTCATGTTAAATGATAAAGAATTGTAAACAAGTCTTAAATTTAATGTTATCACTTGCATTTAAGTTAATTTGGGTGCTTTTTAACCTGTATGTCTGTACAGTATTTGTACTATTTTTTCATCCATCCCTCCTTATACTGTATAGATCTGATAAATGAGCCTCCGAGAATATGATTTCTTGACTTTCGGGTGTCACATATTGGTTCCCAATGAAAGTAGGATATATATTGTTGGAATGATTGTTCAGTAGAGAGGTGGAAAACAAGACTACTGGAGCTGGGGACAAGATTGGTAAACAGGAAGACAGGTCATAAATGGGAGGTGAATCAGTTGCTTTGTCAGGAATTTCAAGAGAAGTTATAATTTTTTGTGATCGAGTTTGGAATTGTGTCCTAGGAGAAAATTGTTAGTGAATATGGCTCAAAGAAAAATGATACAGAAAAAGGGAGAGAGAGGACTAAATGGTACCTATAATAGACATAGAATAGTTGAACTGAAGAGTTAGTTTAACCAGCCTCCCCAATAAATTATTATAGAGTGACACAGATATGGAGTTCAAGAATGTTTTATTTATTTTTTTTTTTTTTTTATGTAAGTACTCTATGGATGGTTTGAAAAAGTAAGCCCAATAGAAAATGTATCCATATACATTGAAGCATATATGTTTCTTTATGTAGATACTGTACTGTAGACATAATTAAAGCATGATGATGTGATTTTTGGAAGAATGCCAGTGATGAGTGAAGGTTACAATAAAACAGACTCGAAAGGTGTGAAGTATTGGATAAATAGATATAGAAACTCTCACATTAAGAATAGAAGTTTGGAGGGAATATAATTATGTACTGTAGTCAACTTCTTAATGTACTGTATATGATGTGTTTCTGAAAACCTGTACTGTATGCCAAGTGGACATTAATTTTCCATAGAAACCCATGTTATAAACCGAGACACATCCAAATATATTTCCCCACAAAATTTTCTTTATCTTGAATTGGTTCATGACAGACATGAAATATGATCAAATAGACTTAGAAAATTGAACAAGTTTTTTACCTTAAATTAATTATTATTGTATCCAAGTGTATACTGGACTTGAGGAGTAGTAACAAATGAGAAGAGAAATTGTCATTATGAGATACCTGTAGCTGCAGCTGACTTTGGTAATTTGGGTGTTTGAGTTGTTTGGAGGGCTTTCAATTTTTTTAAAGAATTTATCCTAAGAAATTTATTAAATTGCCTTCTTTTTTCACAGAGAATCTTGTAACAAGGGATGGCTCAATGAAGACTGCTGACAACATTTGGGATCCCTACAAAATTAGGTTTAGAGTCCTCTATAACATCTATTGTCCCATCCATCTTCTTGCAGATTTCACTTAAACTCCGAGGTTCTGAATCTTTTTAGGGATCTTGGAGGTGTCATCATCATCATCTTTTGCTTCTCTTATTTGCTCCTGTAACTCAGTCAAACCATCAGTGGTGAGCTCTTTACCATGAGATTCCAGCAACTAACTCACATCATCAGCATCCATCTGCAGATTAAGTTGTTTTCTCTTGTCTACAGCCTCCTCTGTGATATATTCTTGCCTTTCTTTGAAGCCTGCAAAGTCATGTTCAAACTGAAGGCAGAGCGTTCTCATAGAAGCATTCATGGTGGATTGCTCGACTTCATTCCAGCATACACAAATGTTTCTCAAAGCATAAAGGATGTTATCCCCCATCCAAAATTCCATGAGCATTAGTGCATCCTCCCCTTCAGTGGTAGCAAAAGCCCGAGTCATAGCCCTCCTCGAATAGTGTTTCTTACAAATGGCAATACCATTCTGGTTCATTGGTTGCAGTAGGGGAGTGGTTTAAATCACCAACCTCTGCAGAATGACTCAGAGCATTGTCCAGGATTAGCATTGCCTTAAATGCAGCATTTTTCGACATGATACAAAATGGTGCATAAATCAGTTCTCCAAAAAGCTTGCAATAACCCAGGCTTAATTGTTTGTTTTCCAGATCAGTGGCAGTGCACTCTTGACAACATTTGTAAAATCTCTTGGATTTTCTGTGGTAAACTAAGAGAGGCTTTCACTTTAAATCCCCTGCTGCATTACCACCTAGCAGGAAAGTTAGGTGGTCTTTAATAACCTTTAACCCGAACATTTTTTTCTCTTTGGCAATGTACTTTACAGTATCTCCGTGAAGGCATCTTTTTTTATACTAAGTCTATATCATTATGAATTCATGATAGGAAGGATTAAGATAAGTTGTGAAGTAAGATAGTGTACAAAAGGTTCTTTAAAGTGTGTGTTTCAGGTAACATGCCAAGCGAGGATAGGGCAATTCTGAAAGTTGTATGGTGTAGCAGAGCTACCTGGCAGCCATTACAAATTAAATCATTCTTAGAAATTAATAAGGTTGGCATGATATGCAGTGATGGAAGTACACTGTAATGCAATAAAAGAACTAAGGATATTAGCTTAAGTCAGCTGAACTGTTTCTTTACTCAGGTTAATACTTGTACAGTACAGGGGATATTTTTCTTTATTTCAGCTAACGTTCAACCAACAGATCTTGAGACTTTGTTGGATCAAATAGGACTCAGTTCATATATAAGTGTCTTCCGGGAGCAGGTTGTGGACCTCCAAATCTTTCTTACACTGACAGATCAAGAACTAAAGGAATGTGGCATTCAGTAAGTTGGACAGTACAGGAATGCCTCACTATTCGCAGCCTCAATGAGTCGGTTAAATAGGCAAAATAAAAATCTTGCACAATTGCCCTTAAATAAGCAATTTTTTATATATGCTGTACTATATCAACTTCCATCTCTGTGTTCCCCTCTCGTAAATTGTCCCCCCTCTCTATTACTGTACTTTGTCCCCCCCCTGACCTTTGGATCCCTTTCCCGAGTCTTTTGTGTCCTTAGCACAATAACCCTTAAATAAGCAACATTTTATATATATCAGCATCCATCTGGTTTGCTTGATGGCAAACTTTTCCATGGTTGTGCTGATATCTAATTCCTCTGCTGACAGCTGTGTATTATTTCAATGTGATTGATATTTTAAAATGTTAGTTTTTGCATGACGTAGTATTACTTGTACGTAATTTGTCTTAATATGCCTTATTGTGGATAAAAATAAGTATACGTATATTAAATGCATCCTCCAAAAGCGTGAATTTGCTACCAGAGTTTAACAGTTAATTCATGTACTGTATAAGATTTTTGATAAACTTCCTACATGCTCATGTTTGAAATAATGAACGTATGTATCTTCATATAATTTAGCTGAATATCTTTCTCGTCAGAAACTGTCATCCGAAAGATTATGAATAAACACATTTAGAAAAACATCATTACTTCAGGATGAAATCGGACAGGTTTCCAACAGCCAATCAACTCTAACTCTTGAGGAGGGGGCGGGGCATCTTTTCTCAGCTGAGAAAAAAAAACGCACTATAGTCCTGGTACACTGATGAGAGGTGGCCCATTTGTCTTTTACTACTAGACAGGAATACTATGTATGATTTGGTAGGGAGCGAGTGGCTTTGACACGAGTTAACACTTGAACTGACGTTATTCAGTCTAATGTCTTCTGAGAAAAGATCGAACTCCCAAACTCTCTTGAATCTGCCACTGGAATATGGTAGATTTCTTCCAGTTAATTGGGCTCCAAAGTAAGATATTTTTTTGAAGATAATAAAATCATAAATGTCCCAAAATGTTAATTTGGTTAAAAAAAAAAAACAGTACTGAAATGAAAAAGCAAATAGAGAGAAAATTTACACGATTATATTGTGTTTTAGATTTAAATACAGAAACTAATTGATTTAAATATAGAAACTAATTCATAATCATCACATCATCAATTGCATTTCAGAAAACTTGGTCCTCGCCGGAAGATGACATCAGCAATTGCCCGCTGGCATAGTAATGCTCCTCTAAGGAGTACTGTTGAGTGTGCTTATGCTGATAAGTTGGAGGTAGAGATGCAGGAATTGGGAGTAAAGCTAACAGAAGCTAGTCAGACTATACAACAAACAAAGACTCAAGTAAGTTGAAGGTCTTAATCCATTTGCTTCTGATGATGCAGGTACTGTAGTGTTGCCCAGAACCTGACAGTTGCCAGATCCCCTTATGCTTGTTTGTCTTGGGCACAGTCGCAATCCCTCATGTGATGCACAGTCCACCCGGCCACAAATGTTTATAAGTGACTTCTTGCTGGATTGATGCTCATAAACCCTTAAGTATTTTCTTTATTAATCATCTTCCTTTATTCTTCATACCCTTTAATTATTGTACATTTTAGGTAAGCCAGGAAAATGACCTACGTGTTGTGACAGAAGGTTGGGTAGTAGAGGCTCGTGGACGCCTACATGAATGCCACCAACGATGTCAGGTACTCATGGAACAAGTGACTGCACTTCGTCATTGTACCTCCGCCCTGTCCGCACAGCCCTCACTTGTTCAGTCTCCCCTCATGCAGTCTACTCTAATATCTACAATTGTTGATTCACTGACTCTCATTGCAGCTCAAGTTGACACCCTCTTGGCATTAACAGACCCCAGTGTTCCCCGTGGTCCCAGTAACCCCTCTTCACCACGTAAGCAAGGGTATGGTAGCCATCTCGGCACACCTCGATTATGATTAGATTATCCTTTAATATGATGATAATAATTTCCATTCTTCATAATTGATAAAAATAATGAGCGATGTTTACTGAAGTTCAATTAGAAAATTTGTCATACACTATGCTGTTATACAGTACTGTACATGTCATACTGTAAAGTACGTCCTGTTAAGCTCCCCTTTGGGTAAAAGTGAAGTAATTAAGATTATATGTTTATCCTTTAAAATATATTTTATATAGTTTACCTTTTTTTAAATTTCTTAGCCAGTATTTTTGGCTGCAAAAGAAATTTCATGTAAAATTTGGTAATGATAGATGGCCCATATATTTGTTATTATAAGGTGTTATATGTTACTCCAGGACACACACTCATAGGAAACAATTGGGAAGACTTTCTCCCAGTGATGGATATATTCTTTCTGACAAAGGGCAAATAGTCATGGGAAACCAAGGGTCTTGAATTCTTTATGAAAATAGTATACAGAGTACAAATTTTAAGGCCAATATTTTTACCCTTGTAAGAAACTTGACAGTTCTGTGTATTTATTAACTGGCATTAAACTTGAATAAAGTTGGTTTTGTGGTGTAATATAAATGTTGTTCTTTGCTAGTCAGTAGCATTTTTGGATTGTCATAAGTACAGTATTTTAGTACACTGTATATTAAGTACAGTACTGTATATAGATAATATTGTTTTACAGGGGTTCCAGTTCCTCTTCCCATGTATAATCGAGAAAAAATATTTTTATATTGTTCACTAAAAGTGTCTTATAGCTTTGTGACAACACAACGTTTCTTTAACCTCTATAATGTAAGATTACTTTATATTGTGAATAACAGTTAAAAAGCAAGATGAATTCTGATGCAGCTGAAGATGCCTTTATAGTAAGGAAGTTGTTCATTAGATTATATGTTTACACTGGTTATTTTTCCTAATGATGTCCTTATTTGGACAGATAGTCAAGTCACCTTGCAATGGATCACTAACAGTAAATCTAATAGCTTGTATAATTTTTTTTGGGAAATCAGGGGGCTGAAATCCACAAGGAGTTGCCAGACTTAAAATTGCATTAAGTGAGTACAAAAGAAAATCCAGCAGGTTATTTGACTAGAGTAATGAATAGATAAGCTAGTGAATAATGAATTATGGTGCCACAGACCAGAGTAGTTGAGAGATGAAAATTATGTTACTTAGTTGCCAGTTGTGCAGTTACTCACATACAAGAACTGCTCTTCAACTGTGAAGATTACAGCACCCTTAACAAATTATTAAGAGTGAGGGACAGAGTAATAAATTGAGACTGACTGCCTCTGTCATTGAAGTTAACTCTCTAGATTACTGGATTAAGGTCATACAAAGATGTATTTTCTGTGGAATATGAAATGTTAGTAGCAGGTACTGTAAATACACAGCCTGATGAAGGGTCAAATGAACCACACACCACTAAACAAACTAGTTTAATAAACAATCTTATATTATTTATGAGGGACGGATTTATTTGAACCTTTGGAAGAATAGATAAATCAGAACTAGCATATAACACACAAAATCCTATGTTGTTCCCAAAAAGGCATCAGTTAACTAAATTAATAATAAAAAAATGCCACGAAGCCTCACTATATGCTGGGGTGACTCAGAGTCTAAACAAATTAAGGGAAGAATTTTGGGTACTTCAAGCAAGGCAAGTTATTAAAAACATAATAAAAAACTGGAGTACTGTATGTAAAAGCTTGGAAGGTCCTAGATACATAGTACTACCTGTACCACCCACTCCACCATTACCTCTTGAAAGAGTGCAAGACACACTTTATTCCAGTTTGTGGGAGTGGACTACTCTGGAGCTATATTCTTGAAAAAGGGAAATGAAATCAACAAAGTTTATGTTTACTTGTTTACATGTGCAGTGACCAAAGCTGTACACTTAGAATTAGCAGATTTAAATTCATAAACTTTTATTCCTAGGCACTCCTGCTCTGAAGTAATTATTTCAGATAATGCCAGTAACTTTAAAGGAGGTGCAGAAATTTAAACTAATTTAGTTCAAACCACAAAAGTAAAATGAGAACTTGAAATTTTCAAAATCACTTGGAAATTTAACCCAGCGAGGGCACCATGGCATGGTGGATTTTACATGGGATTTGTAGGAATTTTCAAAGGTTACCTTAAGAAATCAGTTTTCAGAAAGCCCGTTTCTATTCCAGAATTGCAAATCTTACTTGATGAAATTGAAAGCAATGTTAATAATAGACCTTTAACTTACCAAATCAACATTTGCTCCATGGTAGGATATTGAATACCTATCCAATAAATCCTCATTATGACAAATACCTACCAGAACCCCAAAATAATTAACAACTACTTATATATTAGGATATTTAATTTTAAGGTAATAAAATGGCGGCGAAGGTGTGGCTATTGGGGGAGGCTGGAGGCCATGTTAAAAAAAATTATTTAGATAAAATACTATCTTTTTGGCAAGATATATGGCATTATGAGTATTTAACTTCTTTAATGGAAAGATATCCTAACCGAGAAGGTAAAACTAAGACCTTTGAGCAGAACATTAAAGTAGGTGACGCATGCCTAGTTCATGATGTCAGTACTGTAGGCAGTAGTAGGGAGCACTGGGAAGAATCATAGAGACTTACCCTGATGATAGTGGCTAAGTTAGTGTTGTAAAACTTAAAAGTAGGATGGGCATACTAATTGGTAGACAGGGAGTAAGACAAGGCTGTGTTCCAACATTGTATAATATATACGTATTCAGAATTTTCAATGAGAGAAGTTATAAGTGATAATTAAGGACACAGTTTTAACACTGGACCATGTCAAAAGAGGGTAATCCTGGAGCTGATGGCTAACATAACCCTCACCTATCTGAATCTAATCCGGAGTGTATAAACTGGTTTAAGTTAGAATGTATTACCGGGTATATCGTGTCCGGTAAACATATACAGTACGGTACAGCATTAAGAAGTCGATTGCGTGACTGATTTTAAGATAACATGCAAGAGTTATAGAAAATTATCACGTGTTTTTCTTTAATCTTAGGATTGAAAGAAAGGAATACAATAATAACTGACTAAACTGCAGTGAAATGAAATACAGTAAACGCCTATTACTGATATAATGTTTTTGTGTTATATTACTACTTCCCAATAACAAGGCGCTACTCACTTTTAACAACACACTTTCACTTATACAGTATTTATGTTTATCATTTGAGAAGAAATATTAAGACATGGCTAATCAGTCATAATCAAAACACCGTGAAGTTACAATAGAGAAAGACAGTGTTTCCAGCGTAGAGAGTGCCACTTTCTCTACACCAAGGGCTTAATAAAGAGATAACAGCACCTTCTAATAACGCATCCGGTTGGGTGTCCCGCCCGGCTATTCCACGAGCCACTGCGAGGAAAGCGTCATCATCACGTACTGTCATTTTTCGCGGTGGACTATAAATGTTTCCCAATTGTAACAGGATATAACACCCTAAACTCTAATACGCTGTTCCTTTTTTCGAGTCTTGACCCTCCCCTTTCAGAAACTTGTACGTCACTGCTCATTCGCAAGGGAAATAAACATGTGAGCGTAATGAGACAAAATATATTGTAGATTTTGTTATTCTTCCAGGGGCATTTTTTGCTTAAGCTTCCAGTACCTGTTGGTTATCATAAATCTTAAACGCTATTACATACATGGTCAAACATCATCCAGAGTGATTAAAGTACGCTATATCAAAATCTTTACTTAACTAATAATACAGATGTCATTCATCATATAAATGCCAGTCATAATAACTTAATTTCCTTTCTCTGACATAATTACACCTTTTCTTCCATATACGTAACTCGGTAAGGTAACGTACTTAACACTTTCATATTTCATTCCATAATATCGCCTCCCACTGATGGATAGTACTAAAATCATTTCGTAACAATTATTTGCATGAGTTCACATAATTATATCTTTAATGCAAGTCTGGGGACTTAGTTGTTTTGAATACATTTTGAAAGTTTGTTGAAGTTTTCAATAAATACTTCGTTTTAGTATTTACTCGAAATGAAGCTGCTGTAAAACCCATGTCCACTGCAAGTTGACCTTTAAGAGATAAAAAGTTCTGAGCGTTATTGCTTGCACGTGCACACGATACAAAAACAGACGTTTATCACAAGACAACAGTGTTAGATGCGCACAATTACTGAAGTCACTTCCCTAACTATAATTGCAACGTTAGCTTGGATGTATTTTACGCTGGTCTTTAATTTTTCGATATTTTCTATGGTATGTGGCTGTTTACACGTTGAAACACCTATCCAATTATGACATGTCATCTATACCAAAACCGTTAGCTCACAATGGCAATGGATGAACAAATGGTCCCCAGTGAATGGAAAGTGGCTTATGTGAGTCCTATCTTCAAGAAGGGCGATAGGCACTCCACGAACAACTATAGACCGGTGAGCCTGACCAGCATAATATGTAAAGTACTTGAGAGTATTATCAGAGATGCAGCGATGGAACATCTACTACGAAACAACCTTGTAAAAGATTGCCAACACGGTTTTATGCCGGGGCGCTCTTGCTTGACACAATTGCTCAAGGTATTGGATATTTGGACCCATATTCTAGAACGGGGTGGTAATATCGACAATATTTACCTAGATTTTGCCAAGGCTTTCGACAGTGTACCCCACGAAAGGCTGAAAATCAAACTGGAAGGGTACGGAATTCGGGGAAATGTCCTAGCGTGGATAGAAGACTTTCTACATGACCGCAAGCAATGTGTGGTGATTAATGGCACGAAATCGTCATCTGTACCTGTAACAAGTGGGGTACCGCAGGGTAGTGTATTGGGCCCGCTGTTGTTTGTTTGTTTCATAAATGATATGCCTGACGTTGTACACTCCTCCATACAAATGTTTGCCGATGACGCCAAGTTATTTCGGGAAATTAAGAACCAAGCGGACTGTGAAGAGCTGCAGAAGGACCTCTGTGGGCTCCAGGAATGGTCGAAGGAATGGCTGCTGAGATTCAATGTCACGAAGTGTAAGAGGATGCACCTGGGGCGTACCAACGGTAAGGAGGCGTACCATATGTCCCAACGGGATGAAGAAAATGTACTAGTTGAGACTGTGTGTGAGAAGGACCTAGGTGTGTATGTTGACAATGAGCTGAAGTTCTCGGGCCATTGTGAGAAGAAGGTAAATCAGGCAAATAAATTATTGGGTCTTATAAGAAGGTCGTTCAGATATCTAGACGGTCCGTCCCTCGTGACGATCTTCAGGAGTGAAGTGCTTCCCCATCTGGAGTACTGTCACCCCATCTGGTCCCCGAGATATGCTAGGGACTGTCAGTTGGTTGAAAATGTTCAAAGGAGGGCCACCAAGCTGGTGCCTGCACTTCGGCATCTCAGCTACCCTGCGAGATTGGAGCGCCTGAACTTGCCTAGCTTATACTACAGACGGGCAAGGGGGGACCTAGTTGAGGTTTATAAGCATCTCAGGGGGCACTACTCAGTTGAGTGTCCTTACTTGGAGCTGGCGGACGCTCGCCCCACAAGGGGTCACAGCTCAAGATTGAAGAAGCCGCAAGTCCGGAAAACCGTGAGGGCAAACTTTTTCGGAGTGAGGGTTGTAAACTCTTGGAACAATCTACCAGAAGTGTTGTGACGGCACCGAGTGTGAGCTCTTTCAAGAGAAGACTTGACCAACACTGGAGCGGGTTCAGGTACATTCAGGAGCCGGTGCATGCCCAGTATTTGCCAACAGTGCGTGACAGAGACGTGACCGATCGCCCGGGCGGCTAGCGAGCCGACCTTTTGGTGAAGAATATAAAGGAAAAGAGTCGTGACCGATCGCCCAAGCGGCTAACAAGCCGATCAGTGGCGAAGAGGATAAAAGTAAAAGTAAAAGTAAAATAAAGAATAAAAAACGTTTTGTCTTCTCACACCTGGCTTTTTGTTTTATTTTCGAAGGTGTGAGAGTAAGTTGAGTGTGGGGGCGGGGTTAGATGAGGTACAGAGCGTGACAGTGTATCAGTAGTGGTCTTGAGCGTCTCCCCGACTACCATCCTCACAGTCACAAAACACCAGCAGCGCGTTGCACATCTTTCCCCAGGTCTCTCTCCTCGTGATTTACCTGCCCGGATTGGGTTGCTGATAAATTCACGTGCTACTCCGGAATCTAAGTCAGGGAATTAAGTTATTCAACAATAACTACGGCGACAAGATATATCGACCTTTTCTATCATTACAAATAAATAGTTTTTGATGTTGCTGGTTACCTGAAGAGTTAAGAGCTGGTGAGTGAACTTTTACAAGTTTTATTTAAAGAATGACAACTGAGTAACTGTGGTTTACATGTCACGTTGCATGTATTTTTTTATCACGTAGGTATTTACAGGTAATTTGTGCAGCACAGGATTTATGAATGCATTCATTTCTTACAGTTTTTTTGTTAACAGACAATTTATGTGATTTTTATACTCACTACTCAGTCAACAAAATGAGCAGATATATTTTGTGGATGTGCGTCCGTTTATCGCTCCAACAGTACAAAGAATTGCACGCAATAGATTTCAACCAAACTTGGTATGCGTACTGTACCCCCTTTATTCATAGATACAGCCCACCTCGTCTGGACTATAGTAATGGTAGTGCTCTTATAAGATGCCTTTTTTGGGGGGAAGCATATAATCCCAGATCTGCATCCTTCTGTCAGCGTCCATTATTTCTTGTCTGGACCATAACTTCTTAACCGGAAAGAAATTGAAGTGCAACGGTACACAGGACAGTGTATTAGATTTAGAATGATATGTTAAAGTTTAAGGCAAACTAACAGAAAATTTTGGGTAAGGTTCGTGGAAAACATCAGTAAGCTTCACTAATATTTTGTGATTTATAAAATAAGAATACTACTGTATATTATTGTTCTGTCTTATTAAAGGAACACTGCGAGGTTTTCAATTTTTTGCAGTTAATTATGACAATCGTGTAATATAAAGGCTAAAGTTTACAATGGTAAAAAACCTAAACAAAGTAAGCTTAATTTTCGAGACAAATGACTTCTACAAGATCTGGATTTCCCAACAGACTAAGAACTAAAATCGTCCCACTGGATTTAGCGTCTACTTACTATTTTCTTTACAGTAAATGTTTACGAATAACAGTGTCGCCATACACATCATTTACCTGCTGTCGTGAACTATGGGAACACACACACTGGGTGCCATGTGCTTACGTGTGGCCCTTCGAAATCTTCAGCCATTACCTTTAGCTTTCACAACAGTTACTCAAAAGGAGCTTACACTCAACTGCTAAAATTATCTACTATTCACGTAACCAATGAACTACTCTGTAAGAATCTGGTGTGAAGTTTTTTTGGGGGTAAATATCTTATTAATGTTCGTTCATGGCAACTCATTCCCACTATAAGAGACACACTAGTCTCACCAAGTTTCACAAGTCATGCTTTATCTTCCTTGAGTTGTTCATGGTAATGTGATAATCCGAGGTAACCCGCCATTTGATACATAAGTAAAAGAATCTACGATTAAAGCCAACCCAACCCAAGCCAAGCCAACCTAACCTACCCCAACATTTAATAAGATGCTACGATTTAACCTAACATAACAAATTATACGTAAATATAAGATGTTAAGATTTAGCTTTCATGATGTGATGAAACTATTGTAGTACAGTAAGAGCAATTTTTTAATCATGTGATGAGGTAACTGAGCTAACGTCACCTGATGATTAAGCACCCTAACTCTGCCTTAGGGTTAGTTTAGGTTAGAAATTTTAATCTTATGAAATAAGCTGGGGTGTCTAATCTTCACGTGATCCTATTTTTTTTATGCCGCTATGTGACATCTGGTAAACTACAGTATATTGGTAAGCTGTTAAAGTGACAACATTACTGAATACGGTTAATCTGGTTATAATGACATCAAATTCATAAGCATCTGTAATTTACTATAATTATTTTCTTAGGAATGTAATCGCATTGACGAGTACGCCGATGTCGTGCGGTTTATACAGTACTGTATATACTTGTACAGTATATACAGTACTGTCGTTACGTGTGGATCAACGCTAATCCAGAACAGGTATTCTTAAACAAAACAAAACAAAATCGGCTAAACACTACTTCCATTCGGATGATTTTTTCTTTCTTTCGCTGTGCATAAAGAATTCTTTCCAAGTGTCTTTCAACGGACAGAATGCTTTAAGAATACCAGCGTAAGTACTGTACAGTAATGCCGCATTACTAATGCGGCCCATATGAGGCGCGTTAAAAAAGGCACGAAAAAAATAACCGGTTCATTTAATCATGTAGAAATTACCGTCTGGTAGAATGTTTTTGTCATATTGACAGTTATTGGCACTGTAAATTAAAAGATGTACCTCCAGAATATTATTTTACACTTGTTGAAATATAATTATAGTATCCTGCTGAAAGTTTAGTCGAGTTGTTTACTAACGTGAAGGAAACGCCATCAACTGTCACCTTCACGTCAACATCCACACACTATCACCTTCACGTCATCATCCCCACACTATCACCTTCACGTCAACATCCACACACTATCACCTTCACGTCAACATCCACACACTATCACCTTCACGTCATCATCCCCACACCATCACCTTCACGTCATCATCCCCACACCATCACCTTCACGTCATCATCCCCACACCATCACCTTCACGTCATCATCCCCACACCATCACCTTCACGTCATCATCCCCACACCATCACCATGCCAGTATCAACACAACCAAAAATGGCTGGGATGTCTTCTGAGTTTAGAATACTGTTAAGTATTACCAAAATAAGCAAAGAGAATCATCTTATTTTTTCCTTACTTTCCTGGTGTATGGATCTACTTATGAGTATGTGCAGACAGACCTTAACGGTTGAAGCACAATTGATGATACAGTATTACGTTATTACTACGCGTCACAGACCGTATAAATAATATTGAGAAGACTTTATAATAACACAATATACATTATAGTGTTATTTGTTGTACAGTATGTGCTTCTTTATTGGGTTGGATATTTAACGAGAAGAAAAATAGTAAGAACAGCGGCAAGCCTCAATAATTCCACCAACAAACTTGTTGAGTGCCCTCAAAAAGTCTTCTTTTCATTTATCCACTTTTCAGCTTACTAGCCGTTCGGTCGGTTGGTCTATCTAATGTTAGTACTGTAGTACAAGAGGAAACCAAAGTCTAGGAAACCTGTAATGTTTGATAGGGTTGCACTGGATAACAACCTTCTTACGCGTGACCGGGACTCGAACCCATGAGGTAATCGGGAAAGATATGCGGGTTACCGCTGTATCATCAAAACATTTCCCGTGCCGGGAATCGAACCCGGGCCTCGCGGGTGAGAGCCGCGTATCCTAGCCACTAGACAACACGGGATTGCTGATTATAAAAAGGAAGCCAAGCTTCTTATATTAGGTCAAGATCTTCATCATCCTTCACCTAACATTTAATAATTTACAAGAAGCATTACTGACGATAAGTATTAACTGCCATTTTTGAAAAGCAATTATCAAGACATTTGTAAATGGTCCTCCGGAAATATTAAAACGAATTACCTAAGAGCAAGATATTATATTTACCTTAGATCTAAGATTTTGTGCAAATTAATAATTTCTTTCATGGATATTTACTACACCAATAAAACATTCCAGCAACAAGTATTATACCTAGCAAAAATCCGTGCAACAAGTGTAGAACAGACTAGTACCCAGAAAAGCAGGCACTTGAGTGTAGTGGACTGTTGAGCTCCGTCATGCACTCTTCATGCACATATCTCTTTCAAACGCTTTCCATCACCAAGGTTCTCATGGCACCTCCAGCTCTGTAACGTCGTTTTTTCTCTTTTCTTTGAACCTATGTAAAAATGTTGCCTTCCCTTCGAAAGATATCTTAAAATGTATTGGGAATTAGAACAAAATAAAGAAAACACAAATACACTTTCTTATATTAAGTGAAATAGTTGAAGAACCTACAACAACTCTAGGAATAAATGACAAGTTCACACCGTAACGAGACGGAGCTTGGACGGTTTTGTGATATATATATTATATATATATATATATATATATATATATATATATATATATATATATATATATATATATATATATATATATATATATATATATATATATATGAGTCAACATTTAACCGATTAATTTAATTACAAAAATCAAAGTTAATGAAAAAAATCTTTCTTAAAGATTTTGTTCAATTTTATTCCCTAACTCGTGTTAAGTGAACATAGGTAGTTAAAGTGGTCTTAGTATATTTTTGGGGGACGTTATTTTTGTGCTTTAGCTTAAGGCAACACTTATGGTGCATTTTTTCATCACTTGAGAGGAATATTCATCGTGTGAACCTTTCAGAACCAGGACCCAGGCATGTAGACACTTGATTAATGGCTACCGTGTGAGCCGACATAAAAGTGTAATTCGCCTTATCTGATGTTCGTGAGTGAGGTGTATAAATGTCTGCGTCGTCAGTAATGGTCACGTGATGAACTACATTCACATAAGAGCTCAGAAGAGTAAAATTATTATTACAGTAGTTTTACACTACATTTTCTATCAACTGTGACCCATAAAAACGTTACCTTTACGACGAAAACTAAATATCTATGGCCGAAGTTTGCAGCGTTACTCGTTTATTAATATAATAAACCCATGGACTTTTAAATACATAATTAAGCAAACGTCAATGATACCCACCCCATGGTTTTAGGTTCCGGATGCCCCTTGTGTTATAGTAAATGATTATTAACGTTTTTCGTTAACCGACAAGACCACTGCGGACCCTCCCCTCCCAACACTGGTAATCTAATGTTCTTGTTCTTCCAATGGTAAATACAACATGTAAACTCATCTTATGTAAATACAACTGAAATTATGAGTACGCAAAACAAGAATCATCTATAGAGATAATGTATCCCCAGCTATGGCATACCAGCCATCGATTATACAATTTGCAGTATACATAACCCTGTCTACCAGGTCGGAGGGTAAAATTGGATGTCTATCATTTCAGGCCTCAAACCACAACCAAACTTGCTCAATATTTCGCTATTCATCATATGATTTGCGAAAAAGTGTGGGAAGCAAAAATTTGCACATGTCATTTGTCATGAGCATAATCTGCTTGTCAAGAGGATGACTCACTGACGAGAGAGCTGTAGTTCAGGGGACAGACTAAGTTAATTTCTTACCGGGTGTTTAGAGTTAAATCACCATAAAATGAGGTTCTTGTCG